GCTAAGATTGTTTCCCAGTGCGTCCGAGGGATGGACCTTGGTGCCCTCAGTGCTTGTCTTGCAGCTGTGGTTTGCTCCTCAGAGCAGCCCCCTCTGCGCCCCATTGGAAGTGCTGCGGGAGATGGTGCTTCTGTTGTCTTAGTATCTGTTCTTGAGAGGGCTACTGAACTTCTAACTGATCCTCATGCCACTTGCAACTATAACGTAGCTAATCGTTCATTTTGGCAGGGCTCCTTTGGTGAATTCTTTGATCTTCTAACAAAGTATTGCATGAATAAATATCATAGTATCATGCAATCCTTGCTCATGCAAGGCACATCAAACATGGCTGTCGTTAATGCAGATGCTGCCAAGGCTATTAGTCGAGAAATGCCAGTTGAACTCTTGCGTGCAAGTCTTCCTCATACTGATGACCACCAAAGGAAGTTATTGCTAGATTTTGCTCAGCGCTCTGTACCTGTGGTTGGACTTAACGGTAATGCCGGAAGCAGCAGTAGCGGTCATGTGAACTCTGAGACAGTGCTGAGTTGATATATGATAACAGCCTCACCTAATTATCATGAATTTTGGGTTCAAGATCCGTCCACATGAACCAAACATCATCAGGAAAATCTCGCATCTGTTCCAAGTACACATCAAGCAATCCGAAACTGAAAGCCAGAGAAGTGCGAGTTGCTTCTAAAGTGGATGTTTCCAACTCGTCCTTGCTTGTTTTGCCATACCAATGTGCAGCACTCTTGATAACTTATGCAACCAAGCCCCTTTGTGTATTATGGAAAACACAGGGTTGATTTGTTCCTAATGCCTTTACCTTTTCATGTCTTTTTTTTTTCTTTTGACAGGGGAGCTTATTTTGTTTCTATGTGTGGTTGGTAGGAACACAGTAGTGGTTAGCATGTACAGATTTAGCTGCAAATCTGATTCCCAATTCCCCATGTACGCCCTTACTATTATATACAAGGCGTGGGGTGGGGTTGTATCTTCATTATCCACCTGTGATGGGTAGCCATATTTGCTGGAAATGGCATTTTGGTTGCTCAGATCTCGATTGGAAAACAGGTTGAAATGATGAGCCATGGCTGAAAATTACCCAAGGAACGCTCTGGTGAAATAAATTATATTGACCTTGCTGCAAAAATGTCATGTTCTTCGCCTTCTTTAGTTTTCATTTTGCTGCTTGCTTGTGTTTTTTTACACTCCCATGAGATTGTTAGTTCTTAACTCTAACACTGCTTTTCTGGCTTGTGGGGCTCGGGAATTTGTTGGGAGATTCCTGAGCTGCGGATGGCTCTTACAGTACTATGATGAAAATAGCGTCAGCTAGCTCCTTTTGTATGTGTGGCCCTTGGTTTGATCGTAATGATCATGCAATGAATGTTATGCATGTTTGGAAGATATAGAATGGAAAGAAACAATATAATTAAAGTAGACAAGATTATGAGTTTATCGTAGTTGCATTGGTTTTATTTCAGAGAAAATTGATGGTAGTCGCTGGTATGCATTGTAAAGGATATTATTTTTTATTTTTAATACATCAAAGGGCGGTTACCTTTATCCGCGATTCGTCATATGTGTATTATATATAATCCTAATATTTAATTACATTTGCTTAATCTATTCGCCTCCCTGGAAAATATTATTGTATTGAATGTCAAGCTGTGCTGGCCAAAAAAAAGAGAAAAGAATATGTCAAGCTGTACATATGAGATATTTAACTATTGATGTTGAAATATTTTTTCTGTCTTTCATAGTTCTTATCATTTTAGCAAGTGTTGCAACTATCGTACACCTTTCTTTTTTTTTTTTTTTATGATGCCTGGGATTACTAATGAACTATTCTAGTTAATATTAAAAGAAAAAAAATTAGGGATTGTCATTAATGTCTCTTCTTTAATTTTACATATATTTTTATTTTTATTTTTTGAAAAATGTCTTGAAAAAGTTTGTATTAGAGAAAATTAGGGATAAATCCCTCGTTGAAAATTTAATTAGCGAATGGAATTTAGGATAATTCACTACACAGGGGAAGATTAGTTGTACACAAAGGATAATAAGTTGCACAAAACAAAGATAGTTTGCACAAAATATTATTTGGATATAAGGAATTAGTTTGCACATAGGAAAGATGATTTGCACATAAGAAAATTTTATTTGCACAAAGAGAAATTGTGTTGCACATCGCACAATAGAAGATCATTGCACACAAGGGAAAATACATTGCATACAAGAGAAAATAAGTTGTACACAAAAAAAGTTAAATTTGCCAAAATTTTTAGGTCTTATTTATCAATTAAATTTTTAACGGCGAATTTATCTCCAATTTTCCCTTTGTATTATTTTCACTACTTTTATTTTCCAGGGTGAGGCAAGGCTTTTATTGGCCGCGTTCGAAAGGGAGGGAAGTGACTCTTTATTTTAATTATTTAGACTTGCATCTTGGGACCAATAATTATGGACCCCCAAGCAGTATGAAAAACGAGTCGTCCATTTTTTTTTTGTTTAAATACAGAAATCAAAACGTGACGTGTAAGAATTAAGATAGTTGAATTCAGGGGAAAAAAAAGGATCAAAATAAATTATAAAATAATAACAACACTTATTCTACTCTTTTGTGCTGATGATATATTTATTTATTTATTTAAATAGATCAAAGCACTGAAAGGGATCTAAATACCTAATGAACACATCGAAATTAACTTGAAGATACTCGCTCGGTTTGCTGTTCTTAGTTTTTTTTTTTTAAATACAGACTGGATACTACGAACTTACAAAAAGCCCAGCGAAAACTAAAGACTACTAAACAAAAAACTCAAAGGGAAAATCTAACAAACACGTCTCATCAACCTCTACCTAAAGGATAAATAGGTAGAGGCTGATTAATGATACAAAATATGTTGTTACGACTATGATCAAGTTTTGCTAAATGATCAACATAAGAATTACTGTATCTGTAAACATGTTGGAAAGCTATTTGCCAATCTCTATGCAAAACGAAGCCTGGTGTCTACAATGATGTCTTTGAAAGGGTGTAGCTCATCACATTCTTAAGCTATTAGGTTAATAGCTTCTAAACAATCAGAATATAAAGTTATTTTTCTATAATCCTTCTCCTAACAAAAATTGAGACCATGAAAAATTCCAATCATTTCAGCTATGGTAGAGGGGACATTTATCAATTTGCAGCTAACGCTACATATCCATTGGTTTGCAAAGTCTCTAATCACTCTTTCACATCCGCTTCTTCCATCTTCAAAACTTCAAGCTTGAATATTCCTTCTTCTCGATTACTTCCCTGTGACTTTTGCGAAGCTGTGCATTGGTAGAGGCGTGATTTTGTTTTAAATCCTGACCCAAGCAAGCTCTGAAAAAGCTTGCATTTGCATTCTGTTTTTGGTATTCAAATCTTGAGATATAATGAGGACAAATCCGCCAACTCACCACTACACGTTTTTTTTTTTTAAATTACTCACCAAGATCGCATAAGGAATTACATAAATACGCCACAAAAAATCTGAGTTACTAAAGTTTGAATACAGGTGTTAAGTCTGTTTGGTAGGATGGAGCCAGTTTTAGGGAAATGGAAATGGAAAGGGAGAGGAAGAAAGGAGTCCATGGAAGAGATTTTAGCCTAAAAATGTGTTTGGTAGAAAGGAAGACATTACGAGATTTTGGCCTTGAGAGTTTGGTGGAGTGATGAAGGAAGGAAGGGAAGTAATTAAGAGTAGCAAGATAACGTGAATACCCTCATTGAAACATTTTAGCCTAGTTTTCAGTAGTACGGTCATTAATTTCCATATAAAATAGAAGGCTAGTTTTTTTTAAAGAAAAATAAATGTAAATATTTATATAAAATAATATTTTTTAAAAAAATTAAAATTAAATATGTTAAATCAAGAAGAAATATGATGCAGATGTTTAGGACTTTCTGTTATTTTAATTTTCATCACTATTATTCAGTTTATCTGAATTTTTTGTTTATTTACTTTTGTAGTTAGTGACTTAGTTTGCAGTTATCCCCCTCCCCCACTCCTTATTTCTTCATTTAAATGATAGATTGCATTATACGATTGAAAATTACAAACTTTTTTTTAATGGTTTTTGCTTTCTCTTCATTTTTCCTCTTCCCTTCTAATTTCCTTCTTTTTCTCCTTAATTTCTCAATTTTTGTTTCACATCAAAATAATATTCACCAATAATGATGATGATGATAATAATATAATTTAGCACTCCCCAATTTTGTGGAAGAATTGAGTATATGATTCTCGTTCGTCTAATAAGGTGAATATTATCATTTTATGAGAATTAATTTGGCTATATAGTTTTAGATAAGATCAAGAAATTATAATTAAAATCAATAATAGTCAACAAAAGCCGACAATATTTACAAATATTTAATGGAATCGGCAATCATAAATTTATAATTAGCGACGTCCATGTTTTCGTTGAATTCAGACTACATTTCACAAGGATGGCCCCAAAAAAAAAAAAGAACCACATTATATATAGTTTCTCAATTCTCATCATCCTTCAAATCCTATTGAAATTATGGACTATCATAATTTTTTTTTTTGACCAAGATGGACTATCATAAGTTAAAATCATACAAGATATGCGAATTACTTATGTAGGTCTGAATCATATAAAAATTAAAATAATTGTATATGATTATTTTTTTAATTGTTTTTACACATGCACAAATTATAAACTGGTTTTTTAATTAGAGAATCTTCAGTTATATGCATTGGAATAATAATAATTAGAGAGAGTCTTAATGTTACACCGATCGATGACCAAAGCAAAAATTAAAATAAAACCATCTATATTTCAAAACGTGCAATTTTGAAGCATCGTTGGAAATTTCTTGCATGATAAACATATTCATGTGTGTCCACATTAATATAATTCTTTTATATATAAGAAGTCCTAGTTCTCTCCAAATCTCAGTTAATTCGTTCGTTTCAGATCAATCTAAAATCTTTCATTTGTTGATAATTATATCGATGGAGTACGACGACTCGTTTCAAACATGGCTACATGATGCTGTAAGATCATCATTTCATGTCCTTTTTGTCGTTTCAATTAGTGTACGTTCATATTTTCTCCCTAGGTTTTGTTTATGTCGAAAACTACTTAGATCATTGCTTACAATTCAGGTTTTTAGCTTCTTCATAATATATATTTTCATGGATAGTGAGTCTTAGTCTCGTATATCAACTATAGGCTAACGAACTAATATTCATGTATGTGGTGACAGTTGAACTTTTAGTTTTCTGATGCATCGAATTGTCTCAGGAAATGGAATTGGATCTCTGTACTTTCTTCCCAGAATTTTGCACAGAGAAAATGTCTTCGTCTTCTTCTTCATCTTTGGATGTTGAAGTTACTGCGAATCAGAGAGAAAAAACTGATCACAATCATCAATTAGCAGATCAGACACTGTATCATCAAACTGAAACTAATTCCATTGCTCCTCTCACTTTCTCTGACGCTTCTGATGGAAATCTTCATGTTGATGCTGAGAATAGGGTATTGCCAGCTGCAAGGAAAAATTATGGTGTGAACTGCGAGATTGAGTGTGATGATGGAGCCATGAACAAGGGCCAACCAGAAGGAGACAAGTGGCATAGGAGCAGCAAAAAGACTGCTTTGCCCCTTCCGCAACACATAGTCGTTGAGAGAAAGCGAAGACGAGAAATTAACCAGAGGTTCTTGGCACTGTCAAAAGTGGTACCAGGCAATAAGAAGGTATTCTTCATTCTATTCTCTTAATTTGTCTCCCTGGACCTTCTTTTTGGATCTGATTTTTTGTGTCAAATAGTGTTACACGCGCTCGCACACATACATACATACACATTCTTCTAACTGGTTAATCCATGAGGGAAACTGACGCTATTACTTAATAGATGCGTCGAAGGCTGAAGATTTACTGATCTCCTACCTCCGGTTTTTAATATAAGAGCTAATTTAACATCCAATTTTATCCTAAATATAAAACTTCAATTCGCTTTATCTCTAATATGCATCCATTTTTTTTCATAGTAGTCCTTGTAATAGTCGTACATGTTAAAAATTCCACCGGTAATTTTAGTTAATACAAATGATTAGTAAGGGTAGAATACGTATTTATAACAAATAACTAACTCAACCAACTTTTTTAATTTATTCAAATTAATCAACCAATTCTTATATTAAAGACCAGAGATAGTATAAATTTATACACGAGAGCCTTTAATAGCCTAATTTATTTTGTTACAAAAGTAGCGTTTTGTCTTCATCACATGATCCATGGATTCTCTTACAGTTGGGTTAATGTTTACTTAAACAACAAGTTAAAGAAGATATTTTTCTTTAAGATCTGCATGTGAAATACCACATGCCCCTTGATCAGTTTGTCTCTCTATTCAGTCACATGGATGGAATATCCATAACTCGTTTGCTTCTGAATTTATATATATATATAAATATTGTGGTTTATACAGAAGGATAGAGCTTCTATACTTGGAGAAGCAGTGAAATACATGAAAGATCTTCAAGAACGCATCAAGAAGCTGGAGGAGAAGAACAAGAAGAAAGTGGTGGAATCAGTAGTTTTTGTGAAGAGATCTTCATCATCTTCTTGTCCATCTAGTGGTAATAATCAATATTATTGTAACCCTAGTTACGAGGAGCCAAACAGAAATGACGACAGCTTGAGCAACAGAAACAAAAGAAGGTGGAGTTTACTGGCTGAAGAAGAAATCATAATCGAAGCAAAAGTGATAGAAAGGAGTTTGCTGATTCGAGTTCATTGTGGGAATCACAACGCAATCCTTCCAACGTTGTTGGCTGCAATTTCTGAGTTTCATTTGATTGTGCTCACTGCTAATGCTATTCCTTTTGGGAAGCACATCGACATCACTGTCATTGCTCAGGTATACATTTCATCAATTTATCATATCTTCACGCCCATTTTATTATTGTTTCCGCACATATGTTCATTATTTTAAGTCTGTAACAAGGGTCCGTTTTTAAAAACGGTAATATTCCTCTGATCTTTAACATAAACCTATTTAACTAATTTGATTAAATTAAGAAAGTTAGGTAAATTAGTTAATTATAAGAAATATGACCTTTTTTTCTTAAAACATTATAATCATCTTTCTTAATATCTCCCATTTTCCTACTTGATATGATTGAGGGAGTATCAATAAAGATAATATAAAAAAAATTGATAAATATGATAAATAAGTTTTATATTTAAAACCAAAATTAACTCAATAATTAGACTTTATATTAAGGAATGAAGGAATATTAGTTATGATTATTTTCATAAAGGTAATGTTAGTTACTCCTCCGATCCTAAATATAAGATCTATTTTATAATGCAATTTGCATTACAAAATGAGTCTTATACTACCTCCGGTCCTTAATATGAGACTCTGTTTGAATTTTATTTTGATCATAAATATAAGACCTCAATTCATTTTGTCTCTCATATTTATATATATTTTTTTCAAAGTAGTCCTTCTAATAATGATAGTTCTAATTAATACATTTGATTAGTAAGGATATTTTGAGAAAGATAACACCTATTTAGGACAAATAACTAACTCAACTTACTTTCTTAATCTCCTCAAATTAATCAATTGGCTTTTATAATTAGGATCGGAGGTGGTATTTAGGACTGAAGGAGTATGATATTTGGGGGTTTTTATATCGTTTTCAAGTGCTTAACATTGGATCTAGATTTTCAGTAGTGTTTGAGATTTTTTTTTTTTTTTTCAAATGACACTCAACTATAAAGCTTTAAATTTATCTACACTACTATATTCGATGATGAGTTATACATGTGAATGTATATGGCTCTCTCAACTTTTTCAAGATTTTTTAAAGCATGTTTTTAGATTAAACTGATTATGCAAAGTTTATATTTTATCATTAATAGATCGAATAATTTATCTAGAATAATTTATCAAATACTTTGGCCTGATTTTGATGTTCTTTGGGATCGTGAAGTGAGATATATTTGTTTTTGACAGATGGGAGTTAATTTCTACATGAAGACGAAGGATATTGTGGACCGCTTGCGCGTGGCATTATCAAATGACAAAATTCCAAAATAACGCACTGAAAATATCAAAATGACAAACCAGGGTCTTCAATTTCAATAATTCCACGTGTACCAAAATGAAATTTTGAACATTAAAAATATTTTCATTTGCCACAGTTTAAATACCAGGATATTTTTTCTCATGAAATGCTACTAATATTTGACGTTTATCCTTCTATATTGAGAAAAAAGAAAAGGAAAAAAAAAACACACACACACACACACAACGCAAAGAAAGAAAGAGCGAGCAAGCATTTAAAGAAATTTCATCCATTTTGGCTAAGTTGAGTAGAAGCAGAACAAATTAAATGAACAAGAGCATCATCCAAATCTTCAAGTTCACAAGAATCTCGTAATTGACTATATGAAGGAGCCAAGTGAATTGCTGCTACATCAGCTAATTTCCATAGAGAGAGGTCGCCGGCCATTTTAAGCATTTTAAGGGACAACTGCTTTGAATTATCAAGATAAGATACAATCACGTTCCAGCAAGCTTCTTGAACATCTTCTAAAATCCAGAATTCTGAAAGCCAATAAAGCTCCACGTATGACTGTAAGCTGCATAGTTTTTGCTCATCATCCATATTATCCCACAAACATCCGGATGGAGGATTTGGCAGTTCACTGGAATAGAACCAGTGCACAAGCTTATTCGCTGCTTCCCAACTAGTAGGAACCTTTATGATTGGTGAATTACTGCAAGAATGAATAATATTTGAGAATAGATCTTAGATTCCCTAAGAATACGCAAAGCATTGAGCAAAACAGCCTTTTGGATGTCATTCAACTGTTAGACATATAAATTTCTAGATCAGGCTTTACCTCTCTTTCATTCCTGAACGAAACAATCCTTGCAAGTAGTCACAGCCAGATTGTAAAATAACTTTATGAACATGCAAGTGTGGAACTGAATGAGAGCATGTACAGCATGTCCATCCTTCAAGTTTTTCTTGTTTAGATTCCAATATAACATCCCTGAAAACAAAAATTGACTAAATCAGAATCAATACAACTTCTATTAATTTAATAATTGATAATTGATAAGCAAGTCCTAATCTGTGAGTGCTGGCTGATTAAACCTCTATTTGCCCAACATAACAAGTGGATATAAATTATCAACAAGAATTTTCATGCTTCATAGTCCTTCAAAACAGAACTTTCACCATAAACATGGCAAGGACATCACCATCAATATGACAGCAAAACATTGATTTAAGGACTACCACAAAGTTCCGACCGGGGAGCAAAATTTTAATAAAACAGAACAAATTTAATAAAATAGACTAATTTTTGTACCAAAAAAAAAATAGAGCGCCAAAATTCAAAAGAAAATGCAAATAAGAGGTAGATTACACTAATCAAAAGTAATCCAAAGATTATTGTAAAAAGTTAATTAAGAGGTAAACCATACCAAAAACAACTTCCAGCTGAAACAAGAGATGGAGTGAGATCAAAGCTGGGGAATGATGTTCCCCATTTTGGACTTTGTCTATGAAGCATTTGCAGGAGAGGCTGCAGATCGCAGCGCTTAGCAAGAATTTTCAACTTCTTTACAATTTCTTCATCGGCATGGAAGTATCCCACATATACATACTCCAACAACTTCACTAATGCTTCATAATCAACATGAGAAGACAAACGAACTTCCCTAATGGATTGGCCATCGATTCTTTTTTCCTTAACAAGACTAACTTCGGGAGGGAGCAATGATGAACATCGAACAGCAAGAATAACACCATGAACACTCAAAGTATTGCCATTGGCCAAAAAGAGTTGAATATCTGCATATTCTTTCTCATTAAGGCATCTCCCAACCCTTTTGCCTAGTTCATTTGGGAAACCATAAAATCCAAAATGACTAAGAATATAAGCTGCATACCATCTTAAACCATGAGTAAAAGAGGCATTACTGCAAATCTCAAGGAGTTTGCGAACTAACTGAGCTTCAAAATATTCTATATCAACAATAGATATGCGAGAATTATTTTGTAAAGGGGCAGATTGGTGAACCATTTCAGCTAAGCCCCACAAACCATAAAACAAGAGAATATTGGAACCTTCCCAATCTTCTGCGTCCATCCAACAACAGGATTTTTCATACAATGTAGTATGCAAATGAGGAGCTAAGCTGAGCCTTGATACATCAATATCATTGCCTAAGCATCGTTTTACTATGAAAGCAACTGTCCTTATGTATTTGCCTTCAAGTGTATGATGATGAGGTAAACTTAAAAAAGAGATCAATCCAATCAAGTTGATGATAAGTTGGAGCTTATCAAACGACCCATAACTTTCAAGTGATGATGCATATTCTAGCGTATGTGCTAAGCTAGTGAAATGATCTGAAGAGTATGTCTTAGAAAATATGAGCCTGGCTTGGGATGAAATGTAATTACAGGGAGAATAAATCATCATTAGAACAGCCCTTGATGCTGGTTCACTCTGAAAACTATCATCAGCATCCTTTTGATATATTCGGCACCATTTCTTAATCACATCCTCAAAAGTTAAGCTAAAAAAAAAAAACAATAAAAATTAGTAAACATAAATGGTATCAATAAAATGAACATGTTTCCAAAAAAAAAAAAAAAAGTTATCTACCTATAGCAGTGGTGACTAAAACATAGTAAATCCATCAAGCAAAAGTAAAGGGTAGAAATTAAATTACCATGCACATATGATAATCAGGTTGATGTAGAGCCCACTTCCATGGATACATGGGTTGAAATTTTCTCCAGAATGTATTGTGAGCCAACCAAGAATGTCCCACACATAACCCCTCACACAAAGCTGATGATTGGTTTTTAAACCCTCCTTTGCAATGGATATTTGTTTGTCCAATGAAGAAACATGTTCCTCTGATAAATCATGAATATTTTCTATCAAAAGATTAAGGAGGACTTTATCAATTCTTTGCTTCCAAAAACTGATATGATGATCACCTGCCCAACGAGTTACTAAAGCCAATCGGCATGCTTCCACTAATATAGAACTATTCTTGTTTACAAATTTTCTAGAATGCATCCCTGTTTCTTCCATCCCACAAATTATGGCATCAACAAGAGCTTCACCACATGTATCCATCACTTTCAAACAATTCTCTTGGGACCTCTAGAAGACAACACAAAACTGTCAGGTAAAATATTAACTGCATCCATATTTAAGTCATATAGAAAAATTTCCTACCAATAGACATTGAGAAAGCCTAAAGCCTTCTATTCTCACAGCATCGGGGTATGATTTTCCCATGGATTGCACAACCATTTGTAGAAAGACTTCTCCATTCTCTATAAGTTTTTTGGCCACAGATCCACATAAAGCTGGTAACAGAAATCATGAATCATCAATTTAGATGCCTGAGAATCAGAGATAAAACGGAAAAGTACATCCAGACAGATGTGAGGCTGGTAGAAAACATTTTGGATACCTAAAGATGTGTACAGCTTCAAAATTACAAGTTTGGTAGAAATATCTGTCCTTGCATACATATCTGACAAAGTATTTATCAGTTGAACATCATTCCAAACAGGAAACCGAGTTGGAGGCCACCACAACAATATTGAGCCCAAAAGCGAAGACATCTGTTCGAAATATTCAATTTTCATTGGAATTTCAACTCCAACAAATTTGCGTATATTGCCCACAATATGAATTACACATTCTGTTTGTTTCAGTACCTCCCAAACTGCCTTTGCACTACTGGCATTTAAATTTGAAATTACCAAATTCAAAGAAGTAGAACAGGGTATTGCAACCTCTACAAAAGGTGAAGATAGCAAGGATGACAGAGCATAGACAAGATCTAATATATAAGATTCGAATATTGAATGGGGTAAAACACTAACTAGCTTTACTGCTACATTTGCTGCCATACATAACAAGGGTCTATTTTTGCATCGAAGAATCCACAATAGTGCTCCCAAAATATCAGCAACAGAATCCTGAAGAAGTATAATAATACAGGAGACTAAGTATCAGATCAGATCTATCATGACACTTGATCAAACATTGGTCAGCACTAATTTATGGAATTCAAATCAGACAGATTCCGATATGAACATACGGGAAATACTAAAGCAACCCCATTACGTACCAAAGAAAGCTAAATATCATAGGGATAGGAATGACAGAAAAAGAAAACAATTAAAATCTAAAACTATGGTTTCTATTCGAAGGAAATGGGAAAGGAGGATTTATATGACAAATTCCGCTCCTTTGAAGTCTTAAACTCCACCAAATTGTTGAACTCAAAAAACCCAGTCTACCTTCACAATACTATGATGTGCTGCACGTGCATCTCCAGACACAAAATCAAGAAACACATCAATTGAGCGTATAACTTGTTTCTGTACTTCAATGTTTGCGCTCTGCCATTTCCATTGGTTTGTCTTCTCGTCAAAATATCTGCTCATTCAGCAAGAACTTCAGCAACAACCACAGTAACACAAGCACACAACATTTGGACTTAAATTTCCTTTAAGAAACACTCGATAGAATTCGAAAATTCAATCTCTTTATTCTAGTTAGGAACACTACTAACCAAGAAATTTAAGAACAAACCGATCAAGAAGAGAATAAATAATGGGAGAAATACAAAGTGCAGATATTCGCATCATCGTTGTAAGTGAAATCAAAATTAAAGGGACCTGGTGCCTAGGTTCAATGCATGAAGAAGACGCTGGTGGAGGTTGTTCATTTGCAAGCTCACGCCTCGATTTTTATCTTTGTCACCGCTCGATTTCATCTTTCAGCTTCGAATTCTCCGAACTCTGTATTTCGGGCCGGTAAGAGAACAATTAAATACTTAAATGAAAGAAGTGTCTGAAATTGAAGAAGCTAAGGTTGTCTTGAAATTTTCTTAGCGAAGAGGAAAATGTCGGGCTTGGATCATATTTTCTTTTTCTCATGATTCATAAAGCTTAAACTGGCCGCATTGCCATCAAAATTCAAAAGAACGAGTTGTACCAAAAAAAACCAAGACGGAGACATCTTGTTTGCCTTCTTTGGTCCAAAAAGATTGCCCTCCGTCCTTTTCAGTGGGCTAGGCCCAAATCCGTCTTTGTTGGCTATTTAATTTTTGGAAAACTCAAAATAAAGCATAATTTTCTCGAAAATCCCCAATTTCCCCCAGTCCCGCCGTCTCATTTGCGTAGGGACACTCTGAAGGCTTCTCTGCGCTCTTTTCCGCCGGTGACTTCACCGACGTCTCTCTCCTGCCGACGAATGCCCGGACGCTTTCTGCAGGTGATTTCCGTTGACATTACTTCTTCAAACTCTTGCTTCGTTTGTTTAGCGGTGTCTACAGGCATGCCTCCCGCCGAAAGAATGAGTTTCGGTCTCCATTTTTGTCATCAGTTCTCGCAATCTGATGACATGTGTTTGTTAAGTATGGTTTTTTTGTTTTCTGGTACGAGGAATGGTTGCAACCTTCGCTTCATAATGTCTTTGGGGCAAGCGAACTTCTCAGTGAGAATTACGTGCCTGTTATAAATTTGTATTTTAGGTTTATCCCCTTGTGACTAGGAGAAGTTACTGTAGTACTTCATTCGTTTGTTCATGAGTTGTGCATAATAAGGCAATTCACATGTAGTTCAAGTTGTGCATAAAGCTCATTAGAGTATTTGAGCTTTTCAGTTTCACATAACCTCCTGAAATTTGGAAATGAGTGATCTCATTGATTCTGAACATTGTTTACTTGAATAGAGTTGCTGCTGACGAAGTTTATTCTATTTATTGAGGACACATTTCTCTTCGGTTATTTGTTGCATTTCAGTTCGTTTTCTTCATCTGCATTTCAGAACTAGAATTCATAAAGCTTTGCCTGAAACATGTTTTAAGACTCAGATCGTACTTGCACTGTTGGTTGAAAGCTGATCGTGGCCTTTCACCTTGTTTCAGTACTCGGTGCTTTTGTGATTGAATACATTTTCTGTGTTACCTTTCCTTGTATCCAATTCAATTCAGTCAAATACACAGATCCCCGCGGCATCATTTTAATTTTGTGGTGGTATCAAACTTTACAGGTGTGAAGGCAAGTGTAGTAACAAACAAAGCTAATAATTCTGCACCATGTCAACTGGACCTGGTCTTGAGTCTCTTGTAGATCGTAAGCCATCTGTAACATGTTCTATCTCTTGTTGATTATTACTGTGTTAGTGTTGGTCTATCATTTGGCATGCTTATTGCAGATAATGGTTTAACTTAAAGTACTGACTTTCCTTCTACTATTAGTGGTATGGAAATTGTTTTTAATGTCATGCTGTTATTAATACCTTGCTCTGAAGCTTTTTGTTTTTGGCAGAAACAATTTCAGTCATCACGAATGATGGAAGAAATATAGTGGTTAGTGATGGTATATTGCATGTGTTTCTTGACAATATGTAAAATTTTATCATCTGTTCTAACCACGCTGATTTTCTATTCAGGGAATCCTCAAGGGTTTTGATCAGGCAACAAATATTATTCTTGATGAATCGCATGAACGAGTTTATTCAACCAAGGTAAGGATGAGAGTCTGTGGGATATTTCACATTATTGTAGCATGCCTATATTATAATATTTTGCTCAATAGGATTGGAAACATGAGTCAAGTAGAGAGCGGATAAATCTGGTGTTTCCCTTATGGAGTAGATATTGAAAATCTATTATCCCAGGCATCATTCAAGAATTTCATTAGTTCTTTATTTTGAGATATTGGCTTTGAATCGGGCTATTCTTGGGGCAGCACTTGTTGATTTATTGAAGCCTATATGAAGAAGCCTTGATTACCTAACTATAGTTGCGGGATTTGCTATGAATAATGTTGATGGAAGATTCTTTTGCCTTTTATCACCTTTGTTTGCTGTTTACATCACAACATTGTGTCACCGTTACCGTCTTCCTGTTCGGCCCCCTCTATATCCCCGTCTTTGAATTTTTTTTCTTCACTTATTTCTTTCGTAATAGCTACAATCGCTACAGTTTCTTTCCTGCGAGTTCAGTTTTTGAAGCTTTGCTCCGTTTTTCTCTCACTCCCCTTAATGTTTCTCATTATCACTTCTAATGACAGGAAGGTGTCCAGCAACTTGTTCTAGGTTTGTACATTATTAGGGGTGACAACATGTACGTCTTTTCCTCCGAAAGTTCTTCATATTTTCTATTGGACTTCTTATTGCGACCCACCTGATGTCTTTTTTATGCACGTCTAATTTAATTTTTATGCTCTGCCTTTGGGCTCTGCAGTAGTGTTGTAGGTGAACTTGATGAAGATCTGGATGCGAGGTTGGATCTGTCAAAGCTTAGAGCTCATCCATTAAAGCCTGTTATTCACTGATTTCACGATGCATTATCTGTTTGGAGACGCATGCCAACGAAGCGGATGGGATGGGCTGTTGAGTTTTGTTGATGCTACTTCATAATCCAGTAGAAAGATGTATTTCTTTTGATAGAGTGTTGTTCAGCTATGTTTGAAATTCTTCGATTGCACTCTTTTAGATCTAATCGGGACATTTAAAGTTCAAACATGACTTCTTTTTTCCTGAGCGAGCTATATAACCATGTCGAAGAATATGCTTTGATAAAATGATGAGCTAAAATATTCTGGTTCTGTTTCCCCTTTGATGTTAGTTTGCCAACCCTGGCTATGTCGATTACCTTGTAGTTGTTCTTCTTGCTGGATTGCGATATGACTAAACTAAGTTCAACTAAAACTATCAAGGGCGAGGCTGCTGTTGAATGTTTAGGAAACTTACAGAAAATGGAAGGACCCTTGTTTTCTCTCATTTCTTATTAAATTAAAATGTTAATCGCAGCAAAAAAACATGGTTGAATTATCAAACGCCAACGCTAGATTTCACTTTTATTCTTCATGTAACTGTATAAGAAAAGCAACCGATCCTTCTTTTCATTGAAGATTGCCTGGCCGAAAGATAATATGGCGGTGCTATGAAATCAAATAAAAAAGAATACCTCAAAATAACAAACTATGGTCTATTATTATCCTTAAAAAAAAAAAAAGCCAACTTGATTCGGCAAGACACAGCAAGAAAGCCGGATTCACTCAACATGATCCCAAGAAACAAGTACCCAAGTGTGGTCTCAATATTCGTAGCCAGCTGATGGAGCACCCTTTTTGGGCAAGCGAGGAGCACCAGTGGAGAAATCCACTGCAGAATTTCCTTCTCTTTCTGCTTCTTTGGTATCAATATCCGAAGTATCCTTATGTTGCTGCAGCTGAGACTGCTGCTGATCAGACTGAGGAAAATCTGAGCCTTGTTGTGCCTTTGAAACATTGCGAGCACTTGAAAACACATCAACGGGATCAGAGTCGGCAATCTTTCCTGCTTCCAACGGAGTGCCATGTTTATAGAGCACTCTCACTCCTTCGTCTTCTGAATGTCTTGCCTGTGAAGTTGCATAATCTATGTCATCCTTGTTCTTGGCCATGATTCTCCAAAACCCTGTGTGCGTGTGTGAGGATTGTTGTGAATGATGGAGTTGTGTGTTCTTTATATGGGGAGGTGGAGGGGAATACGTGGCTGGTTATTTGTGTTATTTGGTGACATGTGTGTGAGAGAAGTGTGGGATGTTCTGTTGGTGACAAGGGTCAAACTTGGGTTTTGTTTATTCCAGATTCTGCATGAACAAAATTGGGGTCACACTAGAAGGATAGTGAAGAGTTGGAAGAAGAAAAGATATTTCAATTTATTATTTAATTTAAGCTTCTATATATTTGCCAAGACCCCATAGTTAAATGACATCCCAAACCTCCTGTCTTTGTGTGCTCACCATGACTAAATATAGGATGGGTGGTGCGTGAATCTTCCAAAGACATGGGAGAGATTTCCCCTTTGAATAATAATTTCCAAGAAAATATTAATACTACTATTTTTTTTTCAAAATTTTCATCTATGTATTCATAGAACATAAAAATTCTAACGAAACTTGCACTTTTTTTTTTTTTTTGAGTCATTAGCATATTTTTCAAATTTCATACACTAATCCTTTTTTTTTTTTGCTGAGGAATTTGTGTTATGAAGGCCGGTGGGAGGAGCCAAATGAGCGATTAGCAGAGATGCAGGAAGAGGATCAGTCTCCCTCTGTGGTTACCTACAACATAATTACTTCTCTTGCTTTCCATGGAAGAATAGAACATGCTTTCGTGTTGGATGAAATGACAGAGTGGATTTAAGGCAACCGCACTGGCTATAATCCAATTATTGCTCATCTCTGCAAGGAAGGGAAGGTTGATCTTGCGGTTCAGTGCCTGGACAAAATGTTTTTCCGGTACTATAGTCCGAACGAAGGAAAATACAATGCTATCGCCATGCTTTGTGAGGGAGGGAAAGTGCAGGAAGCATTTTCAAGGCTTGGGTAATAGGTTGATCATTTTTGGGCTATTTTTAAATTTGATTTGCTAGATTTGAGCCCAAAAAAATGTCATGATGCTGGATGAATTTTTGGTATAATTTCATTGATATGTTTTACCCTTAACCTTATTAAAAAATGCCCTTTCTTCATTTTTTTTTTAATTATCTAAGTAGCTAGCTTGATGAAGGTGATTTTGAAATTTATAAAAAAAAAAAAAACTTAACTAGTCTTGATTGATTTTTTTTCCCCAGTATATGCATATAGTAGTTAGTTATTAATGGAGGGAGTATAAAGAAATTGTAACGTAATTATCGACGAAAAAATCAAGATAATATAAAAACCGAATCCATCACTCAATTTAAAATCAAAGGGCTCGATGGATTTGACTATTCATGCAAAATAGAAAAGACCAATGAACATGGTATGCAAGTGTTAATTTCAAAACTAGGAGAGGCGTAGAAGTAGAGGTTCAGATTTATGGGGTTGCTTGGTTCAATTCATTATTGAACTTCCTGAAAAAATTAAATTAACTTTTTAAAACTGTCCTACAGAAAGTTAACTTAACGGAAAGTATCACTGATAAAGTGAAAATGTACACAGAAAGACGTTCCTTTTTCTTTTTTTTGACCGAAGTACATAGAAAGAGGTCAACGGAGTTGATCCTTAGGCTGTCTTTTTTCACATTAATTATTTTCAAACTTGTTGCACTTTGTTTGTTTGTTTTCCTTATTTCTTCTGTGTCTTGTGATGCGTGCAATATAGCATTATATTAACGAGTTGTAAGCACATGAATATATATATGAGACATGCCTCGTCTACATATTCTAAAGCAGGAAAAGTATGACACAATATGCTTCATATTTCACAGAGTAAACACATTAGTAAATAAAAACTTGAAATTAAAAAAATAATATAAAAACAACACAAGCAAAATTAATTCGTCCGTGCGCTTAGTTTTAGAGAACAGATTTTCCAAGTCATCCTTGTTTCCGAGATCACCCTGAAACCAAGCCAGAGAATCAAACGGCTGAAAAGAATTATTACAATTTCTGAGGCGGCAAAATCTGTTCTAACCAAAATTCATTGGGCCCCTATAGAGACCACCTGCATTTCATGCTGCAGAATACCACTACAACTATTTTTCTACTCTCCCTTCCTCCCTCCCTCCATTCTCTCCCTCACTCTGCATTTCTCACTAAAAGATGTACAGTCTTGCCGCCCCTTATGGCGACGTCCCGCGCATGGTTTGGTGCCTAATACCGTTGTTCACATCCCTGATAAGACTGAAGTTGAAGCTCATGCTACTTCATTAGAGAACAAATGGGTTCGGATTTGGGGCAGACTGCATAATATCTGTACCATAAGCAGGAAATAGCCGTCTTGGTTATCACAGAGAGTTCACGGTGCAATGTGTGGTGCAGGTGTAGCCCGATCAAATAAGTGTTAAGACAAAACTTCCAATAGTCTCTTATTAAAGTCCATTCATTTATTGTTGTATATAGATATTTGTGTTGTCTCATTTGTTGTACACGTGTCATAATCTTGTACATTCTAGGGCTTTGCTCCCTACTATATAATGAAATGATAAATCTTAGGCAAAGCCACCATTATTCAAATTACACTCAATTATTTTCTTGGTATCATAGCTACAGGCTTGCTGCCATGGCTGCCTCTTGTGAAAAAACATCTGAATCATCATTCTTTGCAAATGTTGCTGCTCTTCCCAAGGCTGCATCAGGAAACATGCTAAACCAAGTCTGTTTCGTCAAGTTGGACAGAACCAGCTACCTCGTTTGGCAAACCCATGTGCTACCTATTATTAAGGGGCACAAACTTAATGGCTTTTTTACTAGTACAAAGGTTTGTTCACTTCAGTTCATTACTGTAGATGACAAGTTAGTTCCAAATCCTAACTTTAAAGACTAGGTTGCTGCTGACCAGCTAGTGTTTGGCTAGCTTCTCAACACTATGACCCTTGATGTGTCCTCTCAGATGGTTTCTATCTCTACTGTCGTTGGTTTATGGGTTGCTACAAAACAACTTGCTGGATGTACCACAAAGTCCAGAGTCCTTATGTTCAAGTTTGATTTTCAACGTACTAGGAAGGCTCTAAATTGAATGTTGAAAAAATGGTTCATCTACAGTTTCAAATATTCCACGCAAACAAGTACAACTGAAAAGAATTTTATACTCTCATGGAATTAAAAAGAACTTGTTGAGTATCTACCAGATTGCTGATGATAACAATGCAAACATTTGTTTTAACAAACATGGGTTTTGTGTGAAGGAATAGGACATGAGGGAAATAATGTTGAGAGGGGTTCCAGCTAATGGAGGCATGTTTAAAGTTTCAAAGGAGGAGAAGGATGGAAGCGTAGACTTAGTTTATGTTGCTGAACAAGAAGCTGATTCATCAGCAATTAGGAATCTTAGTGCTAATAAAATTTTCTAGTGTTATGACTTGTTTCAAGGTGAGGAGATCATTTCAGGAGCTCAGCATGTCCATGATCCAAAAATCTTGGAAGAACATGTAATGGCTTGCAGAATTGATGTCAACACAAGTTCTAAGTACATTGCTTGTCTCGGGTATTCACTACAACTTTTCTCTACTCTTCCTCAATTCTGTTACAACCTTTCCTTATCTTTGGTATTGGTGCTGATTAAGGTAGCATTTTAAACTCTTGTACTCAATGTGTCTTGCTTTTTTTTATAATGGAAGACTAAATATCTGAATGGTTGATAATTTTCAGAGATCGTTCACCTCCACTCGATGGATTTGGAGCGAGCTTAGAGCGTATGGTCATGCACTTCTTAAGCCTCGATGATATACACAAGACACGTCTGTTCTTGGACTACTAGGATGGTTCCGGCTTGAAGGACCGCCGCTTGATAATACCTTGACACATTCAAGTTTTCTGGATGTTAACTACAATTTTTTTTAACATGAATCCCGGGATTGTATGTGGGTTTGGTAGAGTTGATGCTCATGACAAAATTTTCTGGTTTTTCGGAACTAGAAGTTTCCCTTTAAGTATTAGACTATCAGTCAACGAATCAAGAAGTTTCCCTAATATTACAAGCACTTGAAAACACACAAATAGTGTCAGAGTCTGCAATCTTTCCTACTTCTAAAGGAGTACCATCTTTACAAAGTATTCTCACTCCTTCGTCCTCTGAATGCTTTGCCTGTGAAGTTGTATAATCTATGTCATCCTTGTTCTTCGCCATGATTCTTCATAACCCTATGTGTGTAGGGTTGTTCACAGAAAAGGACGGGATTTTTGTCCCATGTCCTATCCCATCTCAATTCTGGACAGGAATAAGACGCCCACTTCCCTTTTTTTAAAAAAAAAATCATAATTTTTTGTATGATTTTTTATGTTATAATTTTTATTTTTTATTGGGCTTCTAAAAATAAAAATATTATTAAAAAATTTTATGTAAAAAGCTCAACTGTATTGTATAAAAAAGATGTAAAAATAATACTGTAAAAAAATACCGAAAAAAAAATACTACATAGAATGGGTGATGTGTGGATCTTCCAAAGACATAGGAAAGATTTTCCAACTTTGAATAATAATTTCTAAGAAAATATTAATACTACTATTTTTTTCAAAATTTTCATCTATATGTTCATAGAACATAAAAATTCTATCGAAACTCGCACATTTTTCAAACTTTATACACTAATTCTTTTTTTTTTTTCCTTTTGTAGAGCTACTTTTTTTTTGGGATTACCCAAAAAGTTCCATATGGTTACGTCATTCCATGACAAGCGCTTGTTGTCAATGCTTCTAGGAGGCGCCTGGTATCAGTTTGGATAACCACAGAGAATTGTGGACGAGAGTGGAGTCGCGACTGGGCTAACGAGCGCTTGCTGAACACTCAATACAGAAACCGAGTCTCCTGTAATTGAGTTTCTGCCATCGAAAACGCTCACCGGTATCTCCCATTCTCTCTCGTTCTCTCGTGGGATCGATATTCAGTAAAAACAAAGATAAACCCAGTAGCAGTATATGTCTCATCTGCTTTACCCTTCTAATTTTATTTTCATATTGGGAAAGAATCTGTAAAATTTCCAAGTAGAATCAATCTGTAGTTCGATTTTTGTTCTATTTGCGAAGGTTAACTGGGAAGTAGGAATCAGTTTCATTAGAGCATACTTGAATTGTTATGGCCACTCTGCTGAATTCGGTATCTCCACCTGCAAGCCTATCATCAAAAACGCAAGGGAACTGTGTTTTCAGCTTATATTCCCAGATTCTGAACATCCGTAGGATTTCCCACAGCAGGGGCTTTCCCAGAGTTTTGGCTTCTAGCCAGATGACTATTTCTTCCAAAGATGCTATTATTACCCTGCCCAATTGGAGAGCAGGGAAGAGTGATACAAAAAGTAAGGAGCTCAGGCTTAATGATGCGTTTCTGTATTTAGAGTATATGGTGCGTAGAGGTCACAAACCAGATGTAGCTCAAGCAACCCAGCTCTTGTATGATCTTTGCAAGGCTAATAAGCTAAGGAAAGCTGTTAGAGTGATGGAGATGATGATAGGTTCAGGTATTATACCTTATGCAGCATCCTGTACATATTTAGTCAATCATTTGTGCAAGAAGGAAATGTTGGGCATGCAATGCAATTGGTTGAAAAAATGGAGGAACACGGATACTTAGTTAATACTATTACCTATAATACTCTTGTTAAGGGGCTTTGTATGAAGGGAAATTTAAACAAGAGCTTGCAGCTTATAGATAGATTAATAAAGAAAGGATTGGTCCCAAACGCATTCACGTATTCTTTCTTGCTTGAAGCTACTTATAAGGAGAGGGGAGTTGATGAAGCCATGAGACTTTTAGATGAGATAATTGCCAAAGGTGGGGAGAGTAATTTGATTAGCTACAATGTTATATTAACTGGGTTGTGCAAGGAAGGTAGAACTGAAGAAGCCTTTAAGCTGTTCAGGGAATTGCCTGCAAAGGGGTTTAATCCTAGTGTTGTGAGCTATAACATTTTGCTGAGGAATTTGTGTTATGAAGGGCGGTGGGATGAGGCAAATGAACTATTAGCAGAGATGTATGAAGAGGATCAGTCTCCCTCTGCGGTTACCTACAACATATTAATTACTTCTCTCGCTTTCCATGGAAGAATAGAACATGCTTTCAGCGTGTTGGATGAAATGACGAAGAGTGGATTTAAGGCAACTGCCACTAGCTATAATCCAATTATTGCTCATCTCTGCAAGGAAGGGAAGGTTGATCTTGTGGTTCAGTGTCTGGACCAAATGTTTTGCCGGTACTGTAGTCCAAACGAAGGAACATACAATGCTATCGCCATGCTTTGTGAGAGAGGCAAAGTGCAGGAAGCATTCTCCATAATCCAAGGCTTGGTTAATAAACAAAACTCGCCTATGCATGATTTCTACAAAAATGTTATTTGGAGCATGTGTAGGAAAGGGAACACATATCCAGCCATTCAAATACTATATGAAATGACAAAGTATGGATTTACGCCAGATTCTTATACTTATTCATCTTTGGTAAGAGGAATGTGTAGGGAAGGAATGTTTGATGGTGCTAATGAGATATTCAGGATTTTGGAAGAAAATGGGCACAAGCCTGATACGGATAATTATAATTCGCTTTTACTTGGCCTTTGTAAATCACATAGAACAGACTTGTCGCTGGGGATATTTCAAATGATGATTGATAAAGGATGTATGCCTAATGAAACAACTTATACCATTCTCATTGAAGGACTTGTTTTGGAAGAAGAAACGGACATGGCAGTCAAGCTTTTGAAAGAGTTGCATCAAAAAGAGGTCCTGAGCCAAAGTACTGTAGAGAGACTTATTATGCAGCATGACCTCCAGGATTTGGCAGATTAGAAAGATTTTAAATTAAAGAATAGATACAGCCACAGAAAAATGAGAGCTGTGAAATATGAAAGAATCGCGTTTTGGAGAATTTAGTGCTTGCTTATCCAACATTTGTTAACTGTCAGTGAAACAGAGCAGGTAATTCACTGCTGTTTGCGTCCTTTCCCAAGCTTCAACTTGTTAACTGTTTTCTTTCTGGAGGTGGGATTGAGAATTGTTGTGGCATCTTAACGACGAAAATACTTAATTCCTATTATTTGTTTCTATGTAGGTTTACTTAAAGGAATAGCGCCCATTATGACGATGGATTGATCTTGTTTACGTGACATGAACTACTTCTTTTGTTCATATGGGTCTTACAGCCATAGTAAATGCTCAAGGTTTCATGGATTGTTGTCCTCGTCTCTTTCTTTGTAGTGATCTTGAAATATACGTGTCTTAGAAAAATAATGCAATGCTACTTGATTGCCTGGAATCCGATTGAACGTTTTGCAATATAAATTAGGTAGATCAAATTTATGAAAGAATTGATCACTTAAAGCAGTTAAGCAATACCTATATAATGCTTCTAAACTGCCAAATTGAACCATAATTGCCTTTATGCATGAAATTAGGGTGGTTAATGTGGCTTTATATGACGTTCAAATATGCATTGATGCTGAATAAGAATTCCAATATTTTTATATTGATAATGATTGTTGGTTCAACAAATCGCGAACAAACAAGTTATCCTAATGAAGCGGGAGGATATATAAAAAAAATGTTGCTTGGTTTCAACCTCTATGGTTTACAGCCTAAGGTATGTCGAATGATGCTATCAACAAGCAAACAAGAATATTGTTTCCTAGCAAAATTAGTTTTATTATTCAAATTTCTGAGACATCTCGACACCTGCTCTCTTTGGAAGAAAGAGGAGGGGGGACGCTAAAATTTCTCTCTCACGCTCCATTAAAAATTTTTCAGCTGAATAAGCCCCTTCCCATAAAATTTGAGATCAATTCATTGTCCCCTGCCCTCCGGTCCGAAAGCCTCGTACCAAGTACCGCATACAAATCGTAAACCTCATTGCCTAACACTGAAAACCGTAACATTTCAAAATCTACGGACATGCTCTCTGAGAAGGAACAAATCTAAACACCAACCCCCCCCCAAAAGCAAAAAAAAAAAAAAAAAGAACAAAAACAAAAGAGCAATTGCCTGATTGTGAAGCTGTATAAGCAGTTGTTCGACAAGACCATTCGATTATAAGATTTATTACTTCAGGGAACCCGTCAGCAATTTGTCATGTCAACATGAGTGGTATTTCATAGCATTTCTGGCGAATTGATAAGAAGATTACTCAAAGGCATTTAAACAGACAAGCACCAAAATTCCATTTAAGTCGGTAAAATTTAAACGATATGCCATTCAGATGGAATGCATAAAAAACTAGAGCATATTCCCGTAAATAAAGCGCAAAATTACAGCTCAGATACTCAAAATATGTCTTGGTCCAAAACTAATAAAATTAGCTATAGCGGGAGAAGTCTAACCCCAGGATACACACACCACGACATTACAAGGCAATTGCCTGACAAGTCATGAAGATGGTTAGAGTATCAAAAGGGAAAGCCTCATTTTGTTTCAGCTCCTGCACCTACTTGGATCTTTGTCTCATCTTTCGGCGCTTCCTCTTCAACCTTCTCATTCTCTTCTTCTTCCACTGATACAGAATACATTAGATTATGTAAGATTCAAAGGAAAAACGCATTTGATATTCATGCCAAAAGTAACAGTCAAAACAAAAATATACCAACTTCCATGTATAAAAAAGATTTTCCTCAAACATTAAAAGTATAATGATGCTTCCATTTAAAAGATTTTCCTCAAAATTAAACGAAACATATCCTAATTTAGCAGAATGAATTGAACGAAAGCATATTAGTTAAGTAAACTGCTTTATGCTGCAGCATTCAAATATGTCTTGGTCCGAAACTAATAAAACTAGCTATAGCGGGAGAAGTCTAACCCCAGGATACACACACCACGACATTACAAGGCAATTGCCTGACAAGTCATGAAGATGGTTAGAGTATCAAAAGGGAAAGCCTCATTTTGTTTCAGCTCCTGCACCTACTTGGATCTTTGTCTCATCTTTCGGCGCTTCCTCTTCAACCTTCTCATTCTCTTCTTCTTCCACTGATACAGAATACATTAGATTATGTAAGATTCAAAGGAAAAACGCATTTGATATTCATGCCAAAAGTAACAGTCAAAACAAAAATATACCAACTTCCATGTATGAAAGGAAACATTAAGTATAATGATGCATCATTTAAAAGATTTTCCTCACAAATTAAAAGCGTTCTTCCTAATTTACCGCAGAATGAATTGAACGAAACATATAGTTAAGTATACTGCATATGCTGCAGCATTCAAAAGGCTTTCCTTACAAATTGAAAATGCATCAAAAATATCACAGTACGTGATGAAAACTAAGTTGTAAGCCTCCAAAGAGGCAAGTGCTTAAATTTTTGAAGGAAAACAAAACTGGACATACAACTAATGCAACCAGAACTAATTAGAAAACTAATGAAGAAATTTTGTCGGTAAGATGGAACAATACCCTCTTTAGACAATTATTTTTAAATATAACAAACCATGAGACTAATGTACACTACCCACCACAAAAGCAGGAGTATGCAAACGACGAAGGAGGCAATCAAATAAGCATGATAACAAAGTGACACTGAAATAATGTCAAGCTCACAAAGAGATGTCCTTTGGAGCTTCCGACTATGAAATAAATAGATAGCGTAGAAGCTAGAAGTATCAGATCAGAAAATCAGACAATTTTGATCGGATTCGTTGTGGAGATCACAAGAATAACAAATTACGCGAATTCTTTTGACAGGGCATTCCCGATATCATCTACATTACACCGTATACATCAAGAACACCAATAACTATTATCGTGGGGCTATGGAAGAACATTCTGGTCTACAATTCTTTTCTCTTAATTATCATGTCCTAAACACCGAAAGCGAATCTGTTGCCCTCTGGTTTGATTCTAGAAATTAATTAAGATTATTGAGCAAAATAACGATGAGATAAAGGTCAATTTTAACAATAAAGTCTATATAAATTATCCATGCATATGAAAATCCGATGATGCCAATCCGCATGGAATAAAGATTGAGACCAAATCCATGAAAGAAGCAACAGAGAGTATAAAGAATGATTAAAACAATGTCTCACCTTAGCCCTCATCTTGGATGATGAACTCGCAAGCTTCTCCTAACAACAACAAATCAGCACGAACGAAGATGAAAAAAGACCAATTGGCAGGATAGATCGGATTGAAGGCGACTATTCTCCCTCGCCGGATATTTATATCTGGTCATGCAATCGCTAAACCCTAAATTCGTTGAATGGGTCGGGGTTGGCGCCAGATTGGTATTTGAATGGGCCGGTGTGTTGGTGGAACCTCTTGGGCCGAGTTTATACAGATTTAAAAGATAAAAATATTTGTAATCTTTTAATTTTGTTTTATATTTTAATGTTAAAAATTGTGAAAATTTTGATATCATACCAAGATTGCGATTTTATAGGATGATTTTAAAGCAAAGGTACACCTGAAGGACAGGTAAAGAGTTTGCTTATATAACTAAGGTGATTGGAATGAATTTTTCCCTTGAATTTATGTCTTTTTGAAATTAAAATTAAGATGTAACCAAGTGCAAGTTTAGGAGGCGTTTGGCGGTCATCAAAAATGCCTTTAAAAAATACTTTTCTATAAAACAAGATAAATTTTTTCACATATTTACTTCGTAAACCGTAAAAACACTTTTAAAATCATAATTTGGTTTCTAGCCAAACACTTTCTTAAAGTCTATGCTTTAACTGTCTCGGCTTTGGTCTTTGAGTTGATAGTCAACCTAATCCTCAACAATCTATGTGCTACCAGAAAATAGAAAAAAATGGTTATGATATAAATGTATTTTTTTGGGTAAGAAATTCAGTATTGTTTCCCTTCTTTCCTTGCTTCAAATTTAACACTTCCCATGAATTGCAGCATCAGACCTCGTTGCATCCATGTCTTTCTAGGTTTAGTTAATTGGAACAGATAATAATATCCACTATGATAAATTTTCACTTAAATAAAGCCATACGTCCTTCCGTTAATATAAATTCTCAAAACACCGTTAGTCGCTCTCTCTCCCCCATTAAAAGCCGGTGGCTCTCTCTCTTATCAGCCATGACCAGTTTGATGATGACACCAAGAAGGAGAAGAAGAGCTGCTTCTTTAGCTGGTTCTTCTCCATCAATATCGGCATGCCGCTTCTATACTACTTCTACAGCAGTGAGCCTTCTGCTAGGAAAGGAGGAGGTGGGGCTTGTACATGTGGGTTCTTGCTAGTAGGTTCCAACTCGTGAAGGCAGGGTCTCTAGGAATGAGGCAAATGGCGGGACCTCTGGTGTTGCGAACTAGGTGGTCATCATGCTTAGCCTCTAGCCACTCCAAACAGCCTCATCCCTAAAACTCTAATAACTATTATTACTTTTTTTGGCGTTGATCAATCTAAAATCATAAATTAATATTGCCGAAGGTCATGAGCATTTGAAACTAAAAATCAATGCTCTTTCATGGAATCATGCAAGGGTCTCAAAACAAAGTTTGAAAGAAACTACCAAACTCCTTCGGCATCGTTAAGGAAAAAGGCCTTCATAAAATAGTGTGCTAAGGTAGTAACAAACAAGATATTAAATAATAAATTACAATTAGATAGAAGAGTCTAATGGGAGCTACTGGGCTTTCTTATAGTCAAGTCAGAGTCGTGTGCAAATGTGCAGGATTGCACATAACCTTCATCGATTAGCATCAACATCCAAAACACATAGAAGCGACACGCCAATATTGATAGAGAAGCAGAACCAGTTGAAGAAAGAGCTCTCCTTCTCGACGTCATCATCGAACTGGTCATGGCTGATGATAGAGAGCCACCTGCTTTTGACCGGGGTAGAGAAACCAAACGGGTTTTGATAATTTATTAACAGAAGAGATCTATGGCTTTAACGGAACAAAGTATAAGGGTTCAATAAAAAGAAATAAAACTAGAGGAAACTAATTCAAAATCCAATGAAACTATAAGGATTGACAAATCTATTTTCCCTAAATTTTAATCCTATATTTATGACAAAAATAAATATCAAACAAACTCTTGTATTAAAAATTAGGAGTAGTATCTCATTTGCTACGCTCGAGCAACTTGTACATAACTTCGCCTCACGGACGTGTAAATACTATCATGGGTTGTGTTCTGGACAAATCCATCAGACAACTTCAACTAGCGAGACTCGCCACACGAGTCGGCAATTTGACAACGTGTGTAACTGGATCACTATTACAGTATTACCACATTCACAGAATAAGAACAGATCTTACCCTTCAATAAATTGATTCCGAGTAAAAACGAAAAATAAATGTCAGTGAACCTTGGCGATTGGACCACATTCTCATAACCGATAACTCTCATAGCAACAATATGATAGCAACTTCACACATCCTAAACAATGCTATCAACTCCTAATAAGTCACATGAGCAAACTTTCATGGTATAACAGGCGAGTCAATATGAAGATTATTCAGAAGCATCTCACGCATCAAGGATCGAACTATTACGCAATTTTTATAAGGTTAAACGATGTGCCATTCAGATAAGATATATAGCAAAACTAGTACATGTTTCAGTAAGCCAAACGCAACATAACAACTAACTCAATCCAGTAGTAATAACAATAAAGCAAACTCTAAAGAGAGATCTCCCCTCAAGATCCACACCCCAAAATCACCAGGCTATTGCCTGAATGGTGATAAAGCTGGCAACGCATCAAGAGGGAAAGCCTCGTCTTGGTTCAGCTCAAACGTCTACTTAGATCTTTGTCTCATCTTTCGGCGCTTCCTCTTCAGCCTCCTCATACGCTTCTTCTTCCACTGCCACATAGTATATTATTTGATGTTAGATTTACAAGGAAGAAAACCCTATCGATGTTCACAATACAAATAAAAGGCAGAAACAAGTGCCAAGTATGCTGAGAAACATTAGGCTATGAGCATACAACTTATGATGCAGTATTCAAAAGCCTATTCCTACTCTATCATACTTCAACCATACAATTCAAACTATAAACCAATAGACACGGCGCCAGTATTGAGATACAAGAATAGTCCAGGCATACATAATGAAACAAACATAATTTGAAAAGAAAGAATAAAAACATAAAATGGCTTAAGTTTGAAAATAAAAAGAGATAAAGAATCAAATAAGCATATTTTGCGGCTGAATTAAATGGAAAACTATGAGCTCGGATAATACCAGAAGTAGATTACAAGATACTGAAATAAAAAAGAAAAACAAAAAGAATCACCGAACGCCCACAAACCAATGGAGGCAATCAGAATCATCAGTTCATTGAGTACCTCTTAACATTACAAACAGCAGGAATTATTGTATCAGGAAACCCCCAAAATCTCATATTACACAGAACATTACAGACTGTCGTGGGACAATTAAAGTATATTTGAAATTTATTATTCTCCCGGATTAATTGTCATGTCCAAAAAACCGAGACCAAAACCCAATTGTCACATGTCATACGGTTTTTCAAGTACAAAACAATTAACAGGACAACACAGAAAATTTTAATAACAAACCCGATATCAAGGATCTATACAACGAAAACCCTATGATTCTGCACCAAAATAAACATCGATAGACCAGGAATTCATGAATGATACAAAGAAGAAAGAATAATCACATAGGAAAAAGGGGTTTACCTTAGCCCTCATTCTGGATGTCGAATGCTCAAGCTTCTCCTCCCCACAGCAAATCAGTGGATGCTGAATAGTATAGAACAATCTAGAATGCAGCAGCCGAAACCGCTCTGATTTGGTATATATACATAGTCCAGTTAGAACTGATATGCGGAGCCCTAATCTAATTGGGTTGGATTGACATTGGGCCGCTGAGAGGCATTTTAAAACCATAACCAAAAAAAACAAACTACATCTTTATTTTCTTTTTAATTTTATAATTTATCGAATTTTAACTTTTTAGTTTTATCTTGAATTATTTTTTTTTATTTTTATCTTATTGTATCTTTATTTAATCCTTAATTTTTGAACATATGTGAAAACATTTTTAAAACATAATGTATCACATGACATTTTTTGAGTGACACTGTACATGCCTATGCCTTATTCATGTTTCTGCTGTTGGTCAGAAAAAAATGTTTCTGCTGAACTCTTTTGTACGACTGGTTATTTCAGTTTAAAATTATTTCTTGTTGGCAAAACAAAAATGATGTGGTATGAATTATAAGTTTTTTATAGACATACTGTATTTTATATGTAGCCCAAAAAGATCAGGACAATAAAAATTTATTCCGGCCTCAATGCACAGGAGGGGGATGCATGGGCGAGGAGGATAATAATCTATTCGCTGCAAAATGAGTGATGGCTCTGAGCCTTGGACTATTAGTTCAGTGTTCAGATCCTTCATAAGCTGAATCAGCTTCTGTGCGCAGGCCGGTCACTGTAGCCACCGCTGTCACCGCTGCCGCTTTCGCTGCCACCCCACATTTTCCCGTTCCGATTTAAGCTACCCCACTGAATGGTGAAAACTCCATCAAGACGGGAAATTTCACCATCCGGCGATCCTAGACTTAACTCGCGTCCCTGTGCTCGCCCTTCTTCTATCATACCCGCGCGTCGCAACTGCCAACACCCGATGAATTCTTGGTTGTGGATTATTGTGGAGGCATAGAAATAGAGGGTTCTATCCAATCCAATTCCTCTGTTCGTGATTTGTTTGGTTTGCTTTGGGCAATAATGGAAGCGTCAGACCATCCATGCGATTCCTCTGGAGAAAATCAGAGTGTTGTAGTGGAGCCATCTTCCTCTTCAACTTTTCCACCAAACAACGATTCTGAAGCAAACTCCGATCCTATAGGAAATAGCTCTGAAGTTTTGTCCAAAGGATTATCCACCATGCTTTCCACCATTATTAGGGATTTCGATTGCAAAGCTCAAGAAACCTTTAAAAGTCAAGACCAACTCCATTTTGCGCTCGATCGTCTTACAGAAGGTTTCTTTCTGTCATGTGTCTTCCTCTGTTTTATGGGGTTGAAATTATGCCTCATGAGCTTCTTTCGTTGTTCTGTGCTATGCATTAAGCATTGCTGCACGTTATGATAAATTTTGGAGTGTAGCATGTGAGTTATTTATTATTAGGAAAATTAAAGTTCTTGCTTTGACTCAATTCATATGGTGCTAGTTGTAAGCAGAGGTCCTTTAGTAACTGTCTTGTAAAAGTAAAACCACAGTCCCTTACGCTACATAAGAATGAATTTTGAGCTCTGAAAATTGACAAGTTCGATAATTTATCTGGGTAGTAGGACGTTGGCATAGTCAGAAGAAATTCGGAGAACGGAATCTTAAGAATTTTTACTTTAGAGGTCAGTGTTGAGTTCTGTAGTGCAGCCTATGCTTATAAAGTGTGACAGGAATTTGCGTTTTTAATCAATCGGCGCTATTTCGAGTTTTTAGTGATCTAGATTTATTAGGTGATCTAGTTGAATTTGCCTATCTAAGAATTCGTTGATGTCATATTACTATTGACTCTCTGCTTCCTTTTATCTGAATTGCCCCTCCTATGTGTTTTTGGCTCCTCAAATAGGTTTCTGTTCCTTTTACGGGTCTGTTTGTTCTACATCACTTTCCTCGAGGTTTTTGTTGTGGTTAAGGTTTTCGTCATTATTTAAGTGTTACCGCAGAGAACTTTTGCTTTTGCTTTTCATACACGGGATTAAAGGTGAGCTTGTTAGCATGAAGGTTAAGTCCGGAAGAAAGGTGTTGTGCTATTGGACAACTAGCAGGTCTAGCATTAACTTTCTTTTTTCTTTGGCATTTCATTAGCAATCATTTAGGGTCAATTGTTTAATGAAGAAATCCTCAGCTGCTTTTGATTTGCATTTCCCTCTGTTTTCCATATAAGAAAATTTACATTTGACCTTCAGAGGAAAAAATAAGCGCATAATTCTAAGAATCAGTCTAATGGCAAAAGGTTCGCCTTTTTGGGTGCTTATTGCTCTTACAGACAAATCGTTGAAGATTCAAAATTTATGTTTCTCAATGAGGACTCTATTATTGGTTTGATACACCTCATTTATAAAAGTAAATTAAATAAACGAAAGAATACATCTATTTCTCTCTTTGTGGAATTAGGAAATTTTTCTGGCTAATTATATGGTGTGGTTGGAAATGCAATTACAAGCCTCCATGCTTGGAGGGTGTTTCAACACGTGGGAAATATTGATTTGGGGTAACATCTTGAGTTTAACCCCTTTATTTTTCATTGTAATTAAGTACGTTTTAGTCTTTTTGGTAGTATCGGAAAATATTGAGGGGAAACAGAACTGTCTAGTAGGGCAAATTCTGTAAGAAATGCCCAGGCTTGCAAATGTGATGTGAACAGGTGGACTGTAACATGCGGATCAGCTTAATTCAAGACAGTGAGCTCCTATTAAGGCAATAAGCTATCTGGTTCTCTGGATGATATTGATAGTCGTTTTCCTTGTCAATCTGCTCTACATGGAGTCTTCTTCGCGTGTTGGTAGGCAACACATTCTATGAAACTGTAGTAACTGAAAAGCACAGCTGAGAGTAGAGAATATAGGAAATAGTTGTAAATCAAATTTTGGCGGCTTCAAGTCTCCAACAGTTATACCTTCTGCAATCCAGAAGAGAAGTGAGCAACCTGTAACTACAGCAGAGAAAAGACCAGAGGAAAAGGATAGGCTAGAACTTGAGCTTGCTAGATGTCTCCCGTAACGATCCCCAAAGCTATCTCCTCTCTGCCCTTCCATTCTTTTATTTCCTGATAATAAACTCTCTGACTAACTACCCCTCACTGGGTGCACACCTAACCTGCAGTCTTTTTTCCATGTTTAATTTCATCGTTTACATATTCTTACATCCCTACTTATCTTCCTTAACCACACTTCTTTTCATGTGCTTTTGTAACCGAGCATTCTCCAATCGCATGTCAAAACTTGCGGTTTCATATCCTGTTTCTGTTCTAGTTGTCAACATCTGTAATTTGATGCATGCTTAGATTTTTTTTTTTTTGTTGACATTTCTTTTGCTCTATCATGTGGCAATAGATTAACATTCACAAGCCTCCAGTTTGCTGACGTTTTTCTTTTTGTGGCAGAACTTGATAAATTACTGGAAGATGCGCCTTTGCCATTCATAATGCAGCATGCGGCCAAGATATCCAGTGTTAGGAGAAGAGTTTCATCACTGAATTCTGTTCTAAAATCTATTCAAGGGAGGATTGATAATATAGACCGCATGCTATTTGTTGGCACCACACAAGGTATATGGATATATATCTACAGAGGCTTAATGTTTTACTCTATATGGTAGTAATATGAGGGAGCAATAGCAGTCATACTCCTTGCATCATATAATCCTAATTTCCAAACATGTACTCTCTTTGCAGTCACCAAAGTTTCACTATTTTGTGCAAAGTGTAAAGAGAATTATGATGATTTCAAGTGCCTGACCAATTTTGTTAATGATGCTCTTCCTAGAAACTTTCAGTTCACATTACTGATTCATATTCCAGCCTGGCAGAATGTTAGAATATGGCCCGATGGAAACTGTATTTTCTGCAGTATTTGGAATTACCAATTCATCAGGATTCCACTGAGCTATGGCCTTCATTCTATTAAGTTGGGGAGAGTTCCTTAACACATTTATCATTCCCATATGCTTTTGAATTATTTAAATCAAAGAAAATTCCTGGAGTCAGGGAGGCACATGCAATGAGTAACCGACCAGGATTGATCATTCTGCTGGCCCAGTGCAGATCTAATTATCTTGTCAGGTAGCCCAGAAGCTTCTTGGCTGTTCTGGCTTCATATGTAAAGCCTGTAAAGTCTGTAGCTAGGGCCACTGGAGATTTTGGCAATCACAATTGTTTCAGTGCATGTAATATGACTATGACTAGGCGGTGAGGAACTTATTTACTGTTCCTGAAAGAAAAGCGCCTTGTAGTGATTGGAATTTGACTAATAGACAAACACATATGTCCAGTAACGTGACCATATGAGTTGGATTACTTGTACCTCAACAGAAACGAAGGCCTATATAAACGTTGGACGTTGATTTTAGAGACCTATGCCTATAAAGATAACAGAAATATCTTGCATGCCCAAGATTACCAGATATTTTTGTAATGAACAACTAAAGTGGCGATGTTGCGTGGATTTACTGTGATATATATACTTAACCTTTTCTTTTCCATAATGATATATGGCCTATTTTATACCAATATTGAATGGCACATGCCAATCTTTGTAACATAAAACTCTAGTGTTTTCAGACTCCTTCTGTAGCTTAAGTGAATATTTGTATACTTGTCACGTTTCTGACCCATAGTAATAATACTAATACTTTTGGATTTGTAATTGTACAGAGAAGCCAACCAGCGAAGGCTCTGGATGAATTGATGTCACTGTCAGCGAAGTTCACTTCCAAATTTCTTTTTCCACATCTCTTCTTTGCTGTGCCCTCTCGAGTGCGTTGAATGATTTACTCAAGTCCTCTAGATGAAGAATAACCGAGCCAAAGAAACTTACATTCTTGTTGTATAGATGCTTGATATCTCTTAAAACACTTCTGCATCCATCTACACATTGTATGTAGATTGTAGACTGTAAACTAAAATGTGGTTTTCTAATTTGTTTTCTTGCGTCAAAAAAAAGTCTTTTGGCTCTTATCCCTATCTTATTACCATCATGTTAGTAGTGCGATACAGTTGGAGAAGAAACAGAGAAAAATATCAGGAAAAAGCTGAAATCACAGCTAGTTAGGCACAACTTCAATTTGTGTCTTATTGGGGGTTTTCTGTTCACACACAGCAAAGTTAGCAACTAGCTGGTGCCTCTTCAAAAGTAGCAAGCTTTGTTAGCTGGGAGCAAGTTAGTACATTTCATTTTCATTTTATCTGAAACAAGCGTACAAACCCCACGCTGCAAACTCTGAAATATGGGTACCCCTTGAACCTTGGGGTCCTACGTACCATCCTGATGGTGACATATGTGAATTGTGGGATCTGCATTAATTAATTATTGTAAGTTTAATCTATTGCTTTATTTAATTATTGAGCCCAAAAAAAGATTGGTCTTTATGATCTTGTGCAATTATGATTTATGGACATGGATTCGTTCGCTCTACAAACCTTTTTTGTAATTCATTTGATTAAGGGGATACTTTCAGCAGGTTCAAGCTAACTTTAACCCTCAAGATTGCTTCGGCCTACAGGATAATGGCTTTCGGTATTGGAAGGAGGGACACAAACACATTGATGCCTCAGAAAAGACGCCTAACTTTACCCTATGGAGTTTGCACTTTTCTCTCCCTCCCTGCTCCTTTTTCACAGTGAAACAGTAATAACAAGGGGTTAAAATTACTGCACCACAAGGAAGGTGCAGAATAAATAAAATAACAACAAAAAGTAATTCCAATTTCTAGGCCAGGCCTAGCTCCTCCCACGCAGCTCATATAGATTATGTATGTGACTTGAAGTAGTTCAAATGCCGCCACACAGTACACGTAGCTAGCAGCAGTTTCATACTTCGTTACAATGCCCCTCTTTATGTTCCATTATTATACGACGTTGTCACTATATTCCATATTACCCGTTAATTAATAGTTTAATACCCTATACTCTTAAATGCAAGCGCTTCAGGTCAAAAATAAATAAATGCAAGCACTGGAACTGAGAAGTAAAAGAAAAGTTGCAAGAATATTTCAAGGTTTTCAAGAGAAGACTACTGGGTCATGGTTCTTAGATTGAACCGTTCCCGTCCAGTTTTTGCCACTATGGGAATATTTTTCCCAGTCAATAAGCCATCCTCTTTCTCTCTCTTTCTCTGTGGTTTCTTCTTAGGCTTGACCCACTTGTGCAGAGACTCACCACAACACAGAGAGAGAGAGAGAGCAGTGAGGCATATGATCGGATTAAAGGGAATCTGTGCAGAGGCACGACTGTTGATGAGCACGTTCTCTTCTCTTCTCTGTTCTTTCCTTATTTGATGAGCCCATTCCAAACCAAAAACCTCCTCCTGCTTCAATTCAATCCCCAGCCTTTTTCAGAGTCTTTCTGATTTTTGTTCTGTATATTATTCAAACTTTGTGTGTGTGTGTGTGTTTTTAATATTTTAGACACACTGAATCAGAAAATCACGGGCTCTTATCATGCTCTTAGATTCTCCCCTTCTTTTCAGTATTCATCATTAACCATCACGCTCCTCATCACCTGTTAAGCTTGTTATTTTAGGCTGGTCAAAAAAAAAAAAGCTTGTTATTTTAGACGAGTTGTTATTAGTATCATATAGTGATATAGAAATATGCAGACAAACATATATAAATATAGGGAAAATAACCAAAAAAACATAAAAATTGTAAATTCCCAATTCAAACACCTAATACTTCAAAATCTAGGAAGAAGTAATGCAAAATAGTTAAATAACTTAAATGTCTTTATTTCAAAAAGTTTATTAACAAGTTGTGAATTGACAATGATAAATATCGGATAACAAATGACAAAAAATATACTGGTAATAATAAATTATTTATTAACAAGTTATAAACTGATAATAATAAGTATTGAGTAGCAAATGACAAGAAATTTATTGAGAATGACAAGTATAAAACAAGGCCATTTTGATCATTTAATTATATTTGTGAAATACCAGATTATGCATCATTCCTTTACTGGAGTTTTGAAGTGTTAGGTACCTGAATTAATTTTTTTTCTTTTTCCCTTAAATATATTGCATTATGTTTCGGCAAAAAAATATACGTATAGCGCATTACTACTTGTATTCTTTCTTTGGTGATTTTCAAAATTCTATTCTGCATGCTAATAAATAGTGCTTCCACTGCCGAGCCACGGGACCCATATCCCTTTACATTTTGTGATACGAGACCTATATCGCCCTATATCAGAGATGTGAGTTCAAATAACTCTACTAATTTTATTGGTAAATATTTTTTTGCCAGCATTTATTGATAAATAATTTATTTTATAACTTTGTAGGAGTAATTTTTTTTTCAAACTGTGAAACTTATTTTGGTTGCAAGGGTGCTTGAAAAGACCAAAAACATTTAAAAAAATTTATATAAATTGAGACAAAACTTTTCTTACATATATAAAATTATTTTCAAAAATTAATCTAAATACCCGTAATAATTATACTCTATCTTACTAGATAATACTATAAACTTTCCTATTAATTAAAAGAATTACTTTCTGTGCAAGTCTAGTTACGGAGTACTGGTATTACAATAAATTAGGAAGTATTAATTTAAATAAAAATAAACATTAACTTTTTAATTAATTAATGAAAGAGGTTGTGATATTTTTCCAGCTGGAGATAGGCTTGAGGGCTCAGAAACAGAGAGAGCTGAAGGAATGACTAACTCAAAACAAACCCAAAGCCATTCAAAGTCACATCACATTCCATTTTCAGGCTTCTACAGTACCCTGGTAGTTGCGGTTAACCACAGGATTCACTGGGTAAAAGTAAAACGAAAAAACTGATTATAAATGTTTTTTTAAAAAATGTACGGTAAAAGGACCAAAATGAAATTTTACTGCCTATTGAGGGGACACAAACCGAAAAGGAGAAGAATTATGCAAAAGTAACTCAGGTGAATTTCCCCCTTTTTTGCAATTTGAGCCCACTGAATTGCCCACTCAATGACTGGTCAAACCAAACCAGTGCACATCAAAATCCGGCCTGGCCATCGGATTGATTGCAACGACATAACATGGCGACAACGAGAGGGTTAGAAAATTAGGATTCTGCTAATATCATCGTACATCTAAAGTATTTTTATTGTAAATATAGTTTTAATACGAACAAAGATAATTTTAAAAAATTTAAATATATTATGATAAATAACTAATTTTATCAATTTTTTAAATTATTTATCTCATTTTTATATTAAAGACCAGATATAGTATATTATTTTTATTAACAGCTATAGAGAGTTAAAAAAAAAGATTTAATAAGAACACACTTAGAAGAAGCAACTTGTTTGCATTTTACCCAAGAAAACTTATTAGAAAACCATATATATATATATAATATAAGTCATAGAGAATTATTAATTATATTTTTTTCAATTTTGTTCCTATCTTTTTAATTATAGCGAGGTTGTTAGGAGTATGTTAAGAGTGATTTCTTATTTCTTATCAAAACCTGCGCGTAGAGATTCAATCTGTAAACTCGAGCTTAACAGAACTGATGAAAGATGCTGTTCTAAGTTGGACATGGACCAAATCGGTCCACACGTGAGGGGTTTAAATATTAATTTAGTTTTTTTAGATAAAAAAATAATATAAAAAATTGAAAATTACAATATTTCAGGTTTTCAACTACCAAAGAATTCAAAATTCTAAAAAAGTAAGTAGTACCAAAGCAAGTAGTACCAGATATGATATTTTACAAATATAATTTAATAATTAAAATGCTTTTATATCAGATTTTTAAAAAAATATTAAATTTGTCGTTACCGATATACTCCTATGATCCTTAATGTAAGATCCATTTAACTAATTTGATTAGATTAAGGAAGTTAGGTAAGTTAGTTAATTATAAGAAAAGTGACACATTTTTCCTAAAACATTATAATCATCTTTTTTAATACCTCATCTCCCTCTTCTATTTGATTATGGTTGAGGGAGTGTCTATAGGGGTAATTTAGAAAAAATTGATAAATATGATAAATGGGTCTTATATTTAGGACCAAAATCAACTCAAGAATTGAGTCTTATATTAAGGACCGGAGGAGTATTTCTTATTCTTAACTGTTTAATATTTATTATTGTCAGTTCACAACTTATTAATAAATAATTTGTCATTATTAGTATATTTCTTGTTATATGTTATTCAATACTTATTATTATCATTTCATTACTTATTAATAAATTTTTTAATATAAAAATATTTTTATTATTTAACTATATTTACAAAATATTCAATAAAGCTTTTTTTTTTTTAACTGAGATTTTGAAGTCGTTCGTGCCTCATTGCGGATATTGTAATTTTGGATTCAATTAAAATTATTAGAATTTAAAAAAAAAAAATGAATTCCAAGGCATGCGCAAATGGACTGGATGGGACTTGAAGGCGGAAGACAACAGCCGCTTCTCTCTGCTTTTGAGCCTGCGGATAACGACAACTTATGCTTGCCCCAAACCTAGCCACATGTTTCCAATATTCTCAGACTTATTTAAATTATTATTTGTTAATATCAGTAATAATAGTGCCTGCTTAGCTTCGTGCCCATTGGATCACTAATGGCGCTCATCTTTTATCCCTCATCATTACTCCTCAGTTAAAACTTAAAACACCCCCGCCCCCCTCACATCACATGTGCCTGTCTTTAAATAATACTCCTACGGGCCTTCCACGTGGTTTGTGCCTCTTTCTGTGCCCTTCTTCCCCTTCTCAATCTTAAGATCCTAACAGAGTATTTTACTGTAAATTAAATTATTATTATTAGGAAAAACTGGTTAAAAGCGTCCCCTTACAAATTTTATTAAGCAAGCAGTAAGCGGGTGCCATAATTTTCGGCACGTGTACATTTTTTTAAGGTATGTTGTTATATGCGGGTGACTTTTATGTTTTAGATTGTTCATTTGAATATAAATAACATTTACGAATTATTTTAAAGTTTTGCAGCAATTTTCTTATTTTATTTCATTAATTACTTATTTTAATATTTAATATACTATCTATGGTCATAATTATAAGAGTTAGTTGACTAATTTGAGGAGATTAAAAAAGTTAAATTAGTTATTTGTAATAAATATGTGTTGTCTTTCCTAAAATATCATTGCTAATCAAGTATATTAGTTAAAACTACTATTATTAGAAAGAATACTTTGAAAAAAAATGCATAAACACGATAGATAAAATGGATTGGGGTCTTATATTTAGGATCAAAATAAAAGTTAAATAATGTCTTATATTAAGAACCGAAGGTAGTATTTATTATCCCATTTCTCAATCCACCATCTCTTTTGATCACATATTCTTTTTAGGGGATGTTTGGATAGAAACCAAATCATAGTTTCAGAAGTGTCTTTACGGTTTACGAAGTAAATATGTGAAGGAATTTGTCTCGTTTTACAGAAAAGTTTTCTGAAACCATGGTTTGGAAGTTGCCAAACAACCCCTTAGATTGTTCAAAGCTAAATATAAGTTACTCACCCGCTTCTTTTTACAAACAACAATCATTTTCTTTTTGTCCTTAAATATAAATAACATTTATAATTATTTTAAATTTTTGTAACAATTTTCTTATTTTATTCCATTAATTACTTATTTTAATATTTAATATATTTATTATCTCATTTTTCAACTCACGTCTCTTTTGATCACATATTTTCTCTCTTTCATAATTCTTTTTATTATAGTAATTTTTTATTCTCTTTATTATACTCTTTCTTCCCCATAAATAAAGGTATTTAAAAAAAAAACTTTCAATTTTTATCTGTTTATTATCTTTAACTAATTCTTTGATTTACATAATGAAATCTTATGTTGTTTATAAAAAAGTACAAAGAAAGTATTATTTACCAGTTTTCTCTTCTTCTTTTTTTTTTGAAATCCAATTTTCTCGCCATTATTCATACACAGTGCTCATTTGCTGTCAATTCATTTTCCAGATTTATGTTTTATAATATATTTTCACAGTATCATAGCGCCCTTACATATGAAGCACTCCTAATTATTTTATACTACTACTATTTTAAGATTTAAGGTTGTGTGTTACTCACCATTTTTGTCGCGTAATTTGATTTCAAATCATCTTCGTGAATTCATGTAAACTTGAAATTTGGACGACGTTTTTCTTTTTGCCGATGAATCTGGCGGGACATTTCGGATAGGCTTTTATTAAATCAAATAGTGGTGTAATATCACCATCTTGTCTACCGAGTGGATCCTTTCATGGAAAGAATAAGACGTTACACTTTTTTTTTTTTAATTTTATGGAATAGATGTTATACTTTTTTTTTAATTTTTATGGAATAGATGTTACACTTTTTCCTTGAATTCAATAAGATGTTACACCGAGTGGATTCTAATGTTTGGAGGTATTAAAAAAATTAACAAAAAATCAAATTGTATACCTAAAAAATAAAATCGTGTATTTAGATTAACTAATATCACGAAAAATCAAAAGTACTACTATAGTATACTCTCTTTGGAGAACGATTAAAAATCACATTATATCATCTTTCTTTGAGAATGAATTAAATTGAAATTACTTTTTAAAAAAAAAAAATCAACAATAGAGCACCGAATTCCAGCCCCTCCGTACCCACACCCATGACTCTGGCATGCCCAAAGTACTACGGAAATAAAACTTGTGGGATCACCCATTAAATAAATGAAGTAAAATAAAATAAAGGGGCCAAAAGGCACCGGACTCGGAGCATTCTCCAATTATGCAACTATCAAATATTAATTTTGCTAGCAACAAAGAGGAAATGGACCCACCAGAACAAATTTGCGAAGGGACCCGTGGTTTGGGTCATCTTGTCTGAAATCTTGTTCACTTCAATATTGAAAGAGCAAATTTATCAAACAAATCCTAAAGACAGAGATAACCAAATTTGTAAATGTCGTTCACCCAGCCATTAAAGTCTTGGATGTATAGAAAGGGAAAACCAGAAGTCATATCATGTGAAAAACAAGTTCATCAGGGAATGGTAATCCCATATGTGACTTAATACTTAAGGGCATGTCCTCATTCAAAGTACACATTGTGATTGAGAAACTTGTCCCACCCCAATTGAATCCTCTGTAGAGAGTCACTGTGGAGTCAGATGAGGACCACCATTATCCAACCACTCAGGTGAGAGTAACCCCCACCATTAACATCACAAGACGCATCTGTTTCAAAACGGCTAAATATTGAGTTGTCGTTTAGCAATAATAAACGAAATATTTATGTTTAGTTCAAACCCACAAAATAGGGCGGATAATATAAAAATAGACAGCAAGGTTGGGGATCAGTCTGACGTGCAATACCAAAAACAACTCAGCAAAGCTTGCGCCTCTGATATCTTTGAATTTTAGCACCATTTCCCAGACTTACTCAGTATAAACAACAAATTAAATAAATCATAAAGAAAAGGGAGAAGCCGACAGGAGCAGATAAGCTCAACATGATGCAGATCTTTAAAAAAGCAAAACAATTTTATAAATACGGGGGGATGAAAAAGGCCAAAGAGAAGCAGAAATCAGAGAGATTCCATGACTTTCTGGTCACAAGATAACAAAAAGCAGCCAGAGCCCAAAGCTCAACTAGTTGGAAACAAGAACTGGATCGTCATATTCGCTGCTATCATTCAAGAACATCCAAATCTACCCAAATATTTACATGATTTCTAAAGATTAAAAAAAGAGCAGGTTAATCCCAATTAACAATGAACTGCAATATTTTCATTGATTCAAGATTCAGATAATGAACAGAAATCTGTAGGGTGAACAAAGAAAAACAGCCCAAATGTTACCCTCTCTTCTCAACGCCGTTACGGTGTTTCATAACTAGCGAGTTAATTACGATCACAACGGTGCCTACTGTTGCTGTATTGGTGGCCCTTGTTTCCACCACTGCCTGCGCCTTCTTTCTTCTGAGGGGAAGAGAAAAGTTGACCGAACCCAAATACCGAACCGGATTTTGATGATCCTCTCAGTGAACAAACAGGAACATTCAGAACCGGAGTTACCCTCACATTGGCCGAGTACGATCGCTCCATTCCTCTGTGCTTGAACCTGGGTCCACCATTGAAGCTACTGGGGCTACTCGAGCTTCGTTCCAAGCTCTGAAACACTACTTTCCCAGACGAATTCATTCTAGGGCTGTCCACGGACACTCCCCTGCTGCCAACCCCACCGGATTCCCCTGGAGCTCGGCGTATGGGGCTCCTCCCGACCCGACTACATGGCGGATGATCCACCAATGGTCTCTGGTTATTATCAATTGGGCCTGCCCTTCGCTTCACGAATCTCATTTTTGGTTGAGCTGGATTCGGGTTACGATGAAGGGATATCGGGTTCGTGTTTGGCTTGTCTGAATCGACCGACAGGCTCGAGAGGTCTTCGTGGTCGTGACCAGAGGATGAAGACGAAAGAGAAAGCCGAGAAGAAATCGATACAGATTCGCAGTCCAAGTCCTTCAGCAATGGAAGACTCAGAGAAGCGTTGTCTAAATTGGAAGTAGACGACCTCGAGCTTCTGTGAAGAAGATGCTTAAACGATTTGTTAGTATAAGAAGTCGAAGCGGCTTTCTGCATCTCGCTCTTAACAGCATTAGAATTTTGATACAACTTCTTTAGTCCCAGAAGCTCCTTCCAGCGACTCGAACATCTCGGAGCCTTGGGCGAGAACAAGTAAGGGTCCGTACTTGAAATATCGGCAACGCGTCCAGCCTTGGCCGCTCCGACAACCTGGCCTCCGGCAAAGTCGACTCGTTCGTGGAAGAAGGTTTAACCGCAGAAAGTTGAAGGGGCACGAGCTTTCCATCCGAGAAAAGCTCATCAGCCGGGAGCATGGCAACTGGATCTTCAAGCCGAAACTCGAAATCTCCGGCGAAAGGTTCCGGATCTGGCTTGTCAGGCGGATCCAAAGGCTTCTCCGCGGAATGCTCTGATATCACCCCAGGAATCTTCCCCGAGTTACCGCCTTCTCGTGACTCCCGGCTGAATGAAACTCGGGGGCTCAACCATCCGTACGACGGGAACTTCGCCGGCGGACAGTCAGGGAAGTTCTCCGGTGACACTCCGATGTTGTTGACACAAGCCGAAGCCATTACTAAGGATCATGTACTAATACCGAAAACTCTCGAAACTCCAAAGAAGATGAGGAGGAGGATGAAGAAGAGGGCCGCACCCAAAGCGAAGCTAGGGAGGGCGTAGCAGAGGGAGACAGTGTTACCGTTACTAGGAGGGATCTAGCGCGGTGCGGTTGCGCTGGGGAGACAACGCTAGGGTTTGATGGTAGAGGGCATACAGTTCAGCATTCAGTGTTTACTGCGCTGGGGTCTGCCATGGCAGTATGATGAGCTACTTATATAACAGTGGCGAAGCTAGCTTGCTTCGTTAGCCTAGCTACAACCTAGGGCCAGGTGTCTCTCTCTTCACACTTTTTCCTCCTCCTTTAAAAAGTAAAATTATTCAGGTCAAAAAAACAAAAGGTGGGATTATTATTCTTCCTTTATTGTCCAATGTTAAATGCTAAGGGTTTCAGGCAAAGATTTAGTAATTAATTAAACAAAATCTTCCCTATTTATCAAGTTATTAGTGTGCAGTATATTTAAAAAGTAACAAAAACGACATTAAGAGAGGTCTCTTGCGGGTTTGGAACCTCCTCTCTCCTCTTTCTAATCATTAAATTAATATATTTTAACGATTTAGATTTTAATTTTTTATTCTAAATTTTAATATATTTTTTAATTTATAATTTATTTATTTTTATAATTTAATTTTAATAATAATTTTAAAAAGATTTAAATCTGAACTATTAAAATGTTAATTTAATGGTTGAAAGGGAGAGAAAGGAAGAAGATGGGAAGGAAAGAAGAGAGGCTCCGAACATGTCACTTAGCAGGCATAGCGTTCCAATGTTTATTTATATATTTGGAGACAACTTATCCGTTAGTAATACTCGCTTGCATCCTTGATTATAAAAGCCAATTCATTACTTGCAAATAGTTAAAAAATATTTTTCTTTTGAATTTTATCTTTAATTAAATGTCAGGATTTTTACACCTTCAAATATTACTATTCAAAAAATAGGTCCTACAATTTTAACAATTAATCAGGAACATGTGTAAAAATTAGCACCTATGATTAGCGAGTGATTAAGGGATTTTTTATTTTCCTTGCAGAAAAAAGGGGGGTTTTTATCTTCTTGTGCAGCATCGCACGTAAAATTTTAGCTTGCGTATTTTATTTTATTTTTTCCGTTTAAGTTTTCTTTCTTAATTATCGCATCAGAATAACCTTATAAAAGCCCTTGAGCTTATTAATGGTTCGGGATTTAGGATCAGGGTTGGGATCAAATCAATTTTTTAATTCCCCAGCTTTGGGGTGAAGGTCTTTCGTATTTTAATTATTTGGTTTAAACTAGCAGCTATGACTATGCATAATTTTGAAGTTCTTTACAACTTTTTAACATGTTAAAATAACAATATGATTGCCGCAAGGTATGAATATAAAATCTCTTCCTTGCTGATCAAATTTCTCATTGTTCTTCTGAATTCAAAAGCTAAATTGACCGTATGTTAGTAACATGAAATTCCCTTTTTTGTGCTTGGTGAATTGATCTAATTGCATTTAGGTACGGCATGATTTAGAGTTTGTCTGGAATAACAATGTTGAGGCTTTAAAAGAGCGGCTTTTCGATTATGATGTATGGTGTATGGGATAAATATATAAAATGAGTTTTATCTTGGTTTTATGATAGACAACTAAACACTATTTTTTGCATTTTGCATCTTTGTACGTAGTTGAACTTTAAAATTATTTTTTTATTTTAAATATAAGATTTTTTTTGCAATGTAATTTATACTATAAAATGAATCTTACATTTAGAATGGAAAGAGTATAATTGATTATAACTCCATTTTCAATTTGATTATCGATCACAGATTTGGTAAGAAATTAGGATTCTATTTACAATAACGTTGATTTCTCATGGTTGGCAAAAGAAAAGTCGTGTGCATTTTAAAAAATACAACTCTTATGAAAAAGCTTAAAAAATTAAAACAATGCTGGAAGCCTTAGAGACCCAACTAATATAAATTATTTAAATTGAGGCTCGACTTTAGGGGGGAAAAAAGTCTAGCATGCAGTTATATGAAATGTTTATTTGAAAAACTAACAGGAACTAAGTTTAGCTGATTTCAAAATTTTATTGATAAATTAAGGTGTCGAATTATCTCTTAACTAAAAGACACATATATCTAACGATAAAATAGGTTCACTTGAAAAGGTATTTTCATTTTGTAATTTTACCTTACTGGACCTAAACCCCAAATTAATCAATGTCAAATTATTTTTTTTTAGCATAAAGCAAAAAAAAAAAAAAGGAAGCATAAGTGAACAGTATTTAAGAAGTAGCATGTCCTGAATAATATATATAGGTTTGGAGACAAGCGGATATGATGATACCTATGAAGCCAAGAAACAGCAATAAAGCAAAGATATCTTTGCCTTTTAGCCAGCATTTAGTAGACACTATACCGACAGCTTTTTGTCACTAAATTTATAGCTTCTTCTCCACTTTGCAAATAATGACTGAGTCACAACAATTGATAATTATATCCAGTTCCTTTTCTTCGTCCCAAGCCCAAACACCTTTAAAACTTTTTCTAGACAAAAATTGATCATTCCTCTTGAATCATCCATACCAATTACTAGCTAGTTTCAATCCGTTTGAATGATTACTTCAATTTGATTTGATGTTTATCTCTCTGAATCTTTCTTGTCATTTCAATGTGGGACTTTTGTGGTTTTTTAATTTTTTGTTGCATTTTTTTAGCTGTTCAAGTACAGGATAGGGCTGGAGATAGTTGGTCGGCTTGCATGTGAATAAATTGAAGAACACAGATGGAGAAATAACAATGATCGAAAATGATACACAATATATTGAAAAGCGGAAATAGACAATAGAAAACAGATATGTTTCGAGATTGATCACAGCGCAAGTGGATGATACACACGCAGATGTATATATAGGCTACTGATTATAATTATAAAAGCTAATTGACTGATTTGAAAAATTAAAAAATAAACTAGTTATTTATAATAAATAGATATTTTTTTTTAAAATATCTTTGCTAATCAATGTTGTTTAAAACTATCATTATTAGAATGACTACTTTGGAAAAAGTACATAAACATGAAAGACAAAGTGGATTAAGGTCTTATATTTAGGATTAAAATAAAAGTTAAATAAGGTCTTATATCAAGAACCAGAAGTAGTATATGTGATAATAATTAAAAAGGGAAAATAGACAAGAGATTTTATGTTATTTATTAGTTATGAATCGACTTGACTTGTTTCTTTGCCAGTATTGCTTTGATTTAATTTTGTTGTAGTGTTTGTTTTATCGGAAACAAGTTTTTTTAAGTGGTTTTTCATTCATTAAAACAATTGCGAAAACATAGAGTTGGATTTCAGTCGAGTTACCCAAGCTCTCTCTTTATTTTCAGCGTATTTAATGTATGTTTATTTTTACGTTGAGAAGTGCTATAATGATTGTTTTGGCGGCTATCAAGCGAAAATCATTTATTAAAAAAATCATGGAGCTTATTTTTCCTATTTAAAGAGACAGATACAAACAACCTAGCGTTACAAGCTTGATCGATATTTGATCAAACTGAAATATCTACACATTCATTCAATAAAAAATGAGTCAGTTATAAATGCATCTTGGAATTTAGTTTTTACTCGAAACCAAACCAAAGTGAATCCTTCTGAAACCACATCCTATTTCATAGCAAGTTTGGCATATCAGCATACTTTTGTGTTATAAATTTTGCAAAGACAAGTGACTGTGTTTTAAAAAAAAAATACTTTTATGTAATTTGAGATAAAAAATTTTTAATCTTTATTTTATATGTTGTAAAATTATTTTTAAAATTTTGATTTAATTATTTATAAAAATAAAAAAAATCTTCTGAAATTTTCTTTTTGACTGTACTTTTCTTTTTCTTGATATTTGTGGGCGCTAGTGTCTGCGTGGTCTGCGCACATGAAAACGATCATGATAGCTATCCACACATTCATGAGACAGTTAATTAGGAAGCTGCCGTTCTACCTGCAAACCTCGACTCACGGCTTTCACACCTCGAAACATCCTCATTATGCGAATCCCCTTTGCTGACCAGTCATCTCTCATTCTTTCTATACCCTTGTTTCTTTGCCTTTTACTTTTCCCTCTTTCCCTAAAGAAAAGTAACATAAACATATTTATGTAACATGGATCATCTTATTTTTGGAATAATTTTTAACCTTATCCCACTAATTGCGCTTACAAAGGAATTTTTATTATGGATAGGTATTTTTTAAAAATAGCATATATTTATTATAAATAATTAATTATTTTTTTAAAATCTCTATAAATTAATTATCTTATCTCTATAAATATTGAAGGATATTACTCTTCCAGTTTTTAGTGCATGATTTAATTTAAGAGTTGATGTTAGCCTTATATGTAGGATGTATTTTATATATTTATTAATTTTTTAAAATTAATTTTATTGATATCTCTTAATCATAATCAAGTGGGGGAGAAAGAGAAAACTAAAAAAGATGATTATTATATTTAAAAAAAATATTATACTACCTCCTGTCCCAATTATAAGAATTACTTGACTAATATGAGGAGACTACGAAAATAACTTACGTTAGTTATTTGTAATAAATATGTGTTGTTTTTCCTAAAATATCCTTACTAACCAAATTTATTAGTTAAAACTACCATTATTAGAGGGACCACTTTGAAAAAAATACATAAATATAAGAGATAAAGTGAATTGAGGTCTTATAATTAGGATCAAAATAAAAATCAAACGAAGTTTTATATTAAAAACCAGAGATAGTATTAATTAATTAAACAAATATTTTTAATTTGCTCTCTATCGCTTGCTAAGCATGAACTTTAGGACTTGACATTCTATATTGTGTTATTTCATTGTCAAAATTTAATTTAGGGGGTTTCGGCAAAACCAAAACTTAGGTTTCAGAATTACTTTTCCGCAAAACGAGATAACCTCCTCCAAATATTTATTTCGTAATCCGTAAAAGCACTTCTGAAACCATGGTTTGGTTTCTATCTAAACACCCCTTAAATGTGAGTTGTACCAAATACCAATGATGTCCGTAAATCTAAATGATATGACTCAAATTCTTAACCTGACACAATTAGCATAACTGACCCAGACATATTATATTTTTCTATATAAAATAATATGTATAAAAATTCATACTAGGTGTATCAGCAGCAATATCATTACATGCAAAGGTAAGTGGATTTATTTTAGATTTAATAAAATATTTTGTTAAAAAAATTCAAATAGCATTAAATTTGAATCCATATCCATATCCATTGAAAATTGAAAATTTACAGAAATAAGAATCCTATTGATTCGCTCGGTCCGAAACGTAACGCGCCCAGATTTCCAGGTTCCTTTCGCGCCTCGATTGCGTGGAGACGCTGCGGGGACCTCTCTCCCGTGCGAGAGAGATCGATGGAGACGGCTGGGGAGTGCAAGTATTCGTGCCAGACTGCTAGCGATACTCTCGCATGGATCCATGCCATCATCGACTTCATCACCCCCTACACCTTATTAATTAAAGCTCACGTCGTCAATTTCTTCAAGGTCACGGGGATTACTCTTTCTTCTTGTACAAACCTCTAGCTGGATAAAATGCAGGAACTGCATTTTGTTTATGGTATTAGGCTCATATGGGAAGCAAGCTTGCTAGCTCACTGTTGGTTTTGTCTCGTTGCTTGTGAAATTTTATGATCTGGACGACCGATAGTATAATCGATGTGGAAATAATAGCTACTGATTGTACCAAAAAACACACTGGTAGTGTTAAATTCATCTCAGAGTAGGCAATAAGTACCGTTTTTATTCTCCGATTCGATAACAATGGAATGTTCGTTGTTATTTCATTCTACTTTGCGCTTACAATAATATTTCAGGATAGACTGTGGGAAAATGTTGACAAGGAATGGATTGATTGCCTGCGCAGAGAATCTGTTGAAAATCTCCTCCTGATACCTTCCGGAGTAATCCAGGTTAGTTATTGTTACCTTGTTTCTTCTCGCCTCTTAAAACAACTAAGGTTAGCTTAGTCTTTGAACACTTCATCTGAGCGGAAAAAAGTCTGTGCAATTTGATGTGAACTATCTGAGAGGAATTAATTTTCATCTATTTTTGAGTGAGAACCAAGCAACCATCATCTAAGACGCGTAGAGGAATTCCTCCATTTGCCGCTTCTCTTGTTTCATAATGGTAGGGAATGAGGTGGGAGATATATTTTCTTAACAAAGCCTGCACTTCTGGCATTGTGTGTTATCTTTTATTCGGGGCGTTTATTTTAGTCTTGAAAACCACTTAACCAGGTACAGACTGCAGATCACCCCGTTTTTAAAGCCACAGTGTTTGGTAATCGCTTAAATTTGAGGACTAGTTCTTATGCCACCACTTATTAAGTTAAAATTAATTCAAACTATTTCCTATGAAAAATTGCTTCTTATATAACAACTTTTTGGTGAAACTAATATTTTCCTTGCTTCTCTCTTCCAGTAATGATTCACTTAAGTTTATATGATATCAAACTTATGTAAAGCTGAATTTAGGACATACCAAGTGTAATTGGATTTTGTTTCACATTGATTTACTTTTGGAAAATCAGTTTTAATTGAAATGTTTTTGAACCAGTTCTATTATCTGGCAAACTTTTTGGTGCATTCAACAAGTCGTCCGCGACTCTTTGGCAGTGTCAGTGAGCCCTTGATCTTGTCCTCCAAATCTGGACTGATTTTAATGGGTCCATTACAGAGGTCTTGGGAGTAGTAAGAATTGAAAGGCTTTGTCTCACTGTGCTTGGTTTGTTGCCATCTGGTTTGTCTAATTGGGGGTGGGGGGGGGGGGAATGCTACCGATTTTAAACTGAAGTTCTTGTTCTCGCCACTTTCATGGGTTCAAAAAATATAGGTGGCTTTTACGTTATTCAGACGATCATTATATATAGTTTCTCTTCGAAAGATATATGGCAAGAAATATGAACTTTATGGTATTGATGATTTTGTATTCTTGCATCTTTTCTGTCTTCTTTTTGCTTCTTTGGAAGGATGCCTTATACTCTGCTTTTGCAACCTGCTGTTTCTTTTCATTCATGACATTTCATCTTGATAAATACCATGATCACAGGAGCACTGGCCAACTTCGTTGAAGGTTTTCATCCTAAAATTGCAGTCTATGGTGCTTCATCGAGAACGAGCAGACATACAAAGAGTATATGATCTTCACCCGGGCATTTCCCTCTCGTTTCAATATTTGTGCTACGTATTGTTGATTATGTTTCAATGAATACTATGAAATAGCTTTTCGTTAATAATTTCAACCGGTTTATTCATTGCTTAAACATACCGTTTATGTTTTCTTTGTCAAATTTTAGGTTAAATCACACAAATCTCTCCCAAGTTATTGACATTACACTAACCTTCCATCGATTTTCAAAATAGATATAGGTCTCCCATGAAACAAAATGTTGTGCTACATTTTAGTCCATTGTCATTTTTTGACTGAAAAACTCTTCATTAGATTGAATAAGAGATGATCTGCAAGTTTGCTGATTCTTTCTTCTAAGAATACTTGTAATTAACTTCTTAGTTAAGAGTCTTATGTGCTGTTACAGATATTACCTAGCATGCAGATGACTTCACTTAACAGCGTTCTTGCTCAGGGAATGAATTTGAAGAAAAAACATGAAGTAGGTTACTGATTGATGGATTTGTGTTCTTTATGATTTCAATAGAAGTTGGTGTGAAACATTGAGAACATTCACGCATGCAGGTAGAAATTCTTTCTGCTGTTGTTAGTTCAATTGCAAACAGTGTGAGAGCTCATACCATCATTGATGTTGGTGCTGGTCAGGTTTGGTTTTAGCTTTAGCTTATGTTTTTATGCATATTTCAGGAAAGTGTTTTTAGTTTCATCAAGTCAATGTTTTCTAGTATAAATCAGCCTTTATGACTAATTTGTCTTGGCCTTCATATTATAATTTCAGATTGAGAGGTTTCTAGAACCTAGAAGTACTGTATTCATGTAGCTATTTGTTCTCAAAGTTTTAGTTTTAAACTGTCCTCAAAGCTTCAAAATATTAAAGAGTCTAGTTCATGTACTTGTAGCGGGGATGGACTGCTCTGTTGAGCTACACAGTGCTGATACAGGGTCAGGAGATTCACACATGCTGGATGTGAGACATGGAGAACATTTTTAAAAGACCATATTCTTCCCACTTATTAACTTGTCATTGCAGAGTGGGTTTTCCTGTAGACTGCTTTTCCCGTAGACAAGGGGCTTAATATTTCGATTGCTTGGAAAGTGAGTCAAGGGAATATTACTTGATTAGAATCAACTATCTTCTCTGAAAGCCTAAGGTTGTAGCAAGAAATCCCATGTAATAGAAAATGAAAGTCCATGTATTAGTTCAGTACAAATTAGGTTTCAACACATTCATAGCTGTGTTCATATTTTGCATTGTTGTTGATCTTTGTCTATTAATATATTCTTCCTTTTATGTTTTATTCTCGTTTTAGGGTTATCTTGCACAAGTACTTTCCTTTCAGTACCATCATTCTGTTGTTGCAATTGATGCATGCTCACATCATGGAAGTGTTACCAATGAGCGAGCAGAACGAATTAAAAAGTACTATGCAGCTCAGATGAGAAAATCTGCGTATGTGTTCCTTTATTTTTCCTGTAATGCTCTTATACTAGGAGCATCTGGGATGCTCTTTAAAGATATACATAGCATCATCAGGAGACATTTTGTATGCGAGGAGTTCCTAGCACATGTGTCATTTAAATTGGATTTGTCATCTCGCTTTTCTTTACTGGCATGGCAGTAGTTGCATGTAATAAGTTTATATTTTCAGGAATCGGTTAGTACAATTAAGATGATATATGCATTCCTACAAAATTTATTCCAGTTTTACTATGATCATGTAGTTCTTGTTCAAAGTTATTCTTACAGAGCTTTTGCTCTTTATAATTATAATGACAATACTCTGTAATTGAATTTTTTTTTTTATTTGTTCAAGATCAGGTGTACGGGATTTGGAAGGACCAAAGACGATTACAAGTCGTGTATTGTCCACTGACATTTTGAAAAACTTGACTGAAATGTCTTTGCGTGGAGATGATGATGACCAGTTGTCTAGGGATAAAAATCATGCAGATAATGGGAAGCTCTATTGTCCCAAATATGCAAATGGAAGAGCTTCATTGGTTCTTGCTGGGCTTCATGCCTGTGGTGACCTTTCAGTCACAATGCTGAAGTGAGTGCTACAAATTGGTTTGAAGCCTCTTTTGTTTCTTTCAAATATAAATTATATTAACTGAAACAGCATAAGTTTTTTAATTTCAATTACAGCTAGAGGAAGGAGTTGAGAGAGCTTGTCTCCAAAAAGTCATTTCATTCTTGGTTAATAATTGATTATTTATGTTGATCCTTATCCTGAACATTTAGTTTTCTATAGTATTTATATTTACTATCAAACTTCATTATTTTTGTTCTCTCCATCTACTAATGATTAACAGCTTGACTTGTAGCTACCGACATTGATTCAATGGTCTCATACAGACTGCAGGATCGTAATTTTTCCTCTTGCTTCATTTTTAGGACTTTTTTAGAGTGCAAAGAGGTGAAAGCTGTGGTGAGTATTGGTTGCTGTTACAACTTACTATCTGAAGAAAGGTTTTCGGATGCTGGATCTCAGTGTGGGTATCCAATGAGTCATGCTCTGAGATCCACTGGCTCCTGGCTTGGGAAGAGAGCACGCGATCTTGCTTGCCAGGTATAAGAGCTTTTTGCTACTGACCTCTTTCTACATTATAGAAGCAGACATTGCAAAGTGCCTTGCCAAAGTGAGGGAGGAAAATAAAGATATATGGAAGCACTTTTATTTGAAATAAGTTAGGCCGGAATGACCTCAATCTCAATATACAATGCAGTGGCTGTTATATTAATCTTTTTCAAGACATTGTCTGGAATTCAGCTTCTGTGAACTTATCTATTTATTTTTCAATTTTCCAAAGATTAAAAGTCATGCTGATGAAACTTAATGAAGAATTTAGCAATGGCCATCTAATCTACATAATTGGTTTCCATCAGAGTGCAGAGAGATGGAGGAGCCTGGAAATGGATGCTGGCATTCATAACTTCGAGTTGCATACTTTTCGTGCTGCTTTTCAAGTGGTATAAAATTTTTGTTGCTCCCTTTATTTTTCTCCACCCTTTCTATGTTTTGGTACATGTTATAGAGAATAGTGTTAACCTTGTATTTTTTTTTTTCCCCTTCCCTGGTTGCATTCCCTTCTTATCTCCTTACACAGTAATGCTTCCATGTACAAAAATTATGGGAAGCTTTAATCTAAATTTTCTTGCCTGTCAATCCTAAACTTCTGATCGAATCAAGGTGAGACAAGGACAAGCTGATTCAAGTGTGCCGGAATCCATTAATATGATGTATTATAGTGGAAGATGTATACATGTTTGATAAATATACGCTGTAATGTCTATTTTCTTCCACTCATAATACCTTTCTCAATACACATAGGTGAAGACGCACGAACTGCATGGCCAGTATCCAGAATATACCCTCTTTCCCTTGACTCTTTCTTGAGGTGCATTAAGGGCGCTTCCATTTTTTTTTTTAAAGTTTTGCATTAATTTTTTGTATTGCTTTTATAAAAAAGTGTTTAATGGGTCAATGCTTTATTGTTTATTAGAAAATGAGAAAGTAAAATAATACAGATGACATTTTTTTGGCCATGGTAACATTGATGGTGCGGAGAAAGGATATTAAACACTATCTGTGCTTATAGTTTTGTCTGACATTTTGCCTACATTTTTTTAATCATGGTGCAATTTTGTTGTGTGAAATTATTGAGTGGTTATGCCATATCATCTATCAATAGCTACGAAAGATTTCTGCGTTGGTTCATTACTTGTGTTCTCCTATAAACCAGCAGATGGTGCTTCCCTCTTTAATGGTTCTTCATAAATATTTCATTTTGTTCCTACTATCTCCTCTATTCTAATTCATATCACTTTGATTCTGAAGGTTCTTTCTAAATATTATCCTGAACTTATGATGAATACTCCATCAATTGGACGTAAAGGGAAAGCTCTGCGCCGTAGACATCAGAGAAGAGCTGTTGAGCCTGAAAGGCATCTTAATGAAATTACTTCATCACTGGCTACAGAACCAGCAGGATCAGAAACTGGTACTTTGAAATCTTGTGTTTTCAAGAGGTTCCCACTTATTTTTACGTTTTGAAATCCTTTTTCTTCGCATTACGTCTAATACCAAATTTTTTTTGGAACACTGCAAAATTGAGAGGGAGGAGAGAGTGATGTTCCTAAATTAAGCTGATACCACCTCTGTGTGTCCCTTGGCATTCTATGCATATGCGTAGTTGTTGTAACTCCTACTAGTTCTGATGCTGTTATGGAGCATTTAAATCACTAATAAATGACGCCACCTTTCTAAATGTGCCGCAGATGGGATTTTGGGCCCTGCATTGGAAATACAGGCCTTGCCATGTCAAGCTAGTTTTAATGAAAGAGCTCGATGTGAACAGACCAAATTTGATGACGGATATTCACTTTTCAAGAACTTCTGTGAATCTGGATTAGAACATCTTGGGATTAGACCTTCACATAATATAGACTTTCAAGAGATATGGAAGGAAGCAGAGCCATTTGCTGTATGTAAATTTATGCTGAATATCTTCTAATAAGCCATACTGTTGTCATCATTATGCACCTGGGGTTTTGTTTCTAGTTTGTGCAGGATCTTATTTTCTTCTTAATGTTAATTTGATTGTACTTTGCTTGTTATAGTTTTTTTAGCTGCAAGTGTCAAATTTGTTAATTTTATTCGTGGTAGGATCTAAATTGAAGCCTCATGATATTCTGTAGCCATAAAAATAGAGTTTCCGGGTTGGAAATCCCTTTATCATTTGACAAGAAGCAAGCTTTTTTTTTTTTTGGGCAAAATTGTCAAGTTTGATGATGTATTTTATTCATTTTTCATTTTGTAATATTGGTGTTCAAAAGGTTGCTTAAGCTCTGAGGGAAATTTCTTTGAGAAAATAAGGAGAGATTTCATATTCAATATGGTGGGACTGTTAGGATTTGTCAGCACAGATGGGAAGATTTGAACTTAAAGACTCAGGTCCTGTAATAAATTATTGCTCAAGATGCAGATATGGGGGGTTTGGATGTAAAATTAACGGGCAAAGCCAAATTATGGGATTGTGGTGGTGGTATTACCCCTATAGTCCAATGTAGATTTGTGATGGCCATGTTGTTACCATTTCAAAAACTACTGGGAATTGTTGGAAGAAGTCTGTGTTGCATGTGTTCTTCAAAGAAAACAGTTATGAATGTACTGGTGTCCAAATTATTTGATAAAGTTTTTCAAACTCCATGACGTGCTCTAATTTTCTTGGGAGAATATTTGGAATCCTTTTCTGGGAGCTCTTTCTTTGTACATCTTTATACCTGTGTTCTTGCACTTGACACATTGGATTATGGTAAATTGTAGGGTTATGGTACTTAGATGGTCTAGAATCTGAAGTGTAATTCTTATATTTTATGTAACACATGGTTGTGCTGGTTCTATGTTTATGTGAAATTCAATGCAACTTGTTGGACTATAATCGAGAAAATTCCTTTGCTGGAGCTATTGTTTTTGAAGCTCAATGTAATTTAACCCGTATTCTAGGCAAAGTGAAAATGATCCGGTACTAATTGGTTTAGCAATTATGCACAGGATCTCGTAGGACCTTATTGGACTCTCAGAGCTGCTTTGGGGCCTCTTTTGGAAACCCTAATTCTTCTCGATAGACTATTGTTTCTCCAAGAGCAAGGCAGTGTTTTGGAAACCTACTTAGTACCCATTTTTGATCCAAGCTTGTCACCTCGGAATATGGCCATAATTGCAAAAAAGATTGGCATGGATTTGGAATCCTAGTGTTACTAAAAGGTAATGTCGATTTCTCTCTTTGCCATTTACTTTTCTTTTTTAATCACGGTTTCTCCCATTACTTCTATTTAGCTTGTTTTCCCATCGGTTTTCTTCAGCAGGATCTGCATGAGTTTTTTCACAAAATTTGGATGGCGATTCATCTGCCTTGAAGCATAACTGACGCAACATCAGGAGGTTTTGAGATTAGCATTTACTTTCAGAGTAGAAGTTCTCCTCTCCATATGACTCTCTTTTTGTTGATTTCACTTATTGACATGTAGGCTTATCAATTCCATTGGACCAAAGAATATTCTGGTATTGCCCGCAAAAAGAAAGGGATTCCAAGCATAGTTAAATTGTAATGCATATCACAGCCCGAAAAGCAAATTTCTAAATTGGGAAACATAAACTGTGTCAAACAAAAAAGAGCTTGAAATATAACGCGACATGTATATCTAAGTGTATTAAATCTAACCCAAGGATCAAGAGAGAGAATTATATGTCATGGATAAGCTCATTGAAAAGGCACTGTTCGGCACGTAAACCTTACCACACTCGAAATTGCACCTGGTCAGAACCCTTTGCATGCAGCCCACTCTGAAACTGTCAATCACTGGTTCTGTTACCAAACAACAAACACATGTACTCTATTGAGTAGGAAATACTACTCGGTTATGGACTTGAAGTACCCCTACTTCCTTGGTTTTCATAATTTTAAAGAAAAAATTAATGAAAGGTAGTTTTGACATGCCTGTTGCAACTTGAAATGATTGTTTGGTTTAACTCTTTTATCCACTATACTGTGTAGTTTCAATCGAAGTTACTCTATCAAGATGGTAAAAGATAAACAAAGCGTGGTTAAACGATGCTACATCTCATGAACTTCAATTTTATTTCTCAATTTCAGATCGGAAATTGTCTCCTCAGGATTTTTGAATATTCCCTTGAAAATTTAAGAGAGCCAAAAAGCCGGAGAGAATTAGTGGAAATGGAATAAATCCATGACCATTTGGACAGAAATAGGTAGCGCAAGGATTTTTCCCTGAATAAATGAAGTGTTGATCAGAACAAATTAATATCTTGTTTGAGCTGCGGCTATCTGTGTCCTCTTCCTAATTTGTTTCGGTCTTCTTGCCATTATCACTTGTAACTGGTTTTTTTTTTTTTCTGGATTCTACCTGACACTGGATGAAGTTAATATTTGAATACTCTAAACCTAGGTGTTCTTTCAGAAAACATATTGCAATAATGGAAGAACCTCTGGTCCGTTGTTCATTAGTAGGAATAGTTTTTCCATGGCAGGAATCAGGACTGTACTATAACAATGTGTGGTTCCAATCCCATGAATCATAATTCTGGGTGTTTGTCATTGCCTCATGGGTTCCAGTTGTGCAGGTGAGGGACAAATTAATGTTCGTTTTGGAAGAATCTGTTTTGACTTTTGACACATGGCTCTATTTGTTCAAATTGGAGCCATTTAATTATTTCTAAATATTGTGGTTTTTTTATTCTTCTTTCCACTCTTAATAAGTGATTTCGGAGATTGAGCTATTATGCATGACTTTGTGTTCATTCTTTTATATTTAGAGATGATGATATTGAGTCCTATGAAGGAGTTGAATTCTCTAGCTGATTGAATGGAAATGTTTATTTCAGAAGTGGTGGGCCTATTGGTGTTTTTGTCATGTATTGATGTGATTAAGAGTTGTATGACTTTATTCCTGAGTTCATAATGCTTCTATAATAACGACCTAACACGAGCACTCTGTATACTTTAAATGTGTTGCCTTATGCCGGCGAGTATATTCCTTCTGAATCTTATCTTTTATACTGATACAGAAGGAGATATTTGAGTAAATTGATCCATACTTGGCTTTTGTAACTGCATATAGGTGGCGGATGAAGGATGCAGTGAGATGCCAGTGAGGTTGTAATGACGTAGTCATTTAAACTTTCCCTTAGGTATTTAATCAACCTGTTTTCTTAGTTCTTATCATGATTCTGGGAGACAGTCAAATCTGTTCGCATTTCATTTGTAAAGTTTTGATCAGTTCTGGATATACTGGTGCTTCAATTATGCAATTGAATTAGGAAAATCTAGTTCGATTACGCATTTTGGTTTATTGATTCTATAACGTCTCTATCAGAAGAGGCACTTCCAGAGGAGGCGAGACTTCTCTTTTGTCAAGACTCAATAGTGGTTGTACTGTTTGAAAGGTAATTGAAGATTAGGAAGCTGTGTTTTGGCTTTGCACTGAGTTTAAAGTTTAAACGTCTCAATATGGATGGGAAAAACCTGTGTTGTCGTTTCAAGCGTGGGGGGCTTAGTTACAAATGGCAGTCTCACAAGGCCTTCTACGTGTCCCTGGTTGAAAGAAGTTTGTCATTTTTGACTTTACTGAATATGCTTTCTTTCTTCCATTATATGGTGTTATTAGCAAAGCAAAATGCCATGAGAGGTAGCCGTCAACAAAAAGAGGAATGGCTGGTTGATTTTATTTGATACACACATCTCATCTAGGACTACTTCACACTTTAGTGGTTTCAGATAGGCACAAAATCACTCTCGAGTTAGTCAAAAGTTCGATTATCCAACCATCTTTGATTGTTACAGGGACAATGGATGCAGAGAGGACACTTATTAGTGCCCTCATAGACTTTTCAAAGTAAAGGAGGGAAAGAATAAATGTTTTTCGAGTGGAAAAATTTGCACATCCAGGGCCATGTTCCTATCATTCCCAAGGTAACTGGCCACCATCCTTCTCCATAGATGGATTTCATGTCGTAACCTTTAATGATTATTATTCTTGGTTGGCTATACAAGTACTGCATTGACTGACTCTAGATTACCTTGAAATTAAATTATCACAGGACTTAAGCTTGTCGCTTACTTATGCCTCCGCCGCATTCTAAAATCTGTTCCTAAGATTTTTTTTTTTTCCTTCTGGTGGCTGAGAGATTTTAGTGTTATTTATTTATTTTTTTTACCTGAGTTTCATTTTGAGTTGAAATAGTATATCGATGAATTAATCAAAAGTTCCATTACTCTTGTCTTGCTAACTAAGAAATTAGGTCGCATTAACTTTGTTCCTTTTGAAAAGGAAAAAGGAAAACGGAAAGCCAAATAGTAGCATGGTGCTCTACATCGTAAACTTTATTGAAATTACTCATATCTCTGCAATTAAAGGTGTTTCATTTGGTATTCTTGATAGAAAATGAATCATTTTTTCAATCATCGTTACTTTTTTTTTTAAACTAAGATAAATATGCATTTTTTATTCGCAGATTTTTTTTATTCTGCATATCAAATTAGATTTCGATTTAAGCTTCTGATAAATTCCTGTTGAGGACAAATTATTTTTTGGACCCACTCTCGCACATCTGTGGCACTTTTGTTCCCACTTTCCAGTTTTAGTTTGACCACAGATTCCACATCTTGTGGGAGTTACATTGAATCAAAGAGTCGTGTGGGAACAAGAGTTTGATCCAATCTGCCCATCAGTGTCACTCGGTCAGGTTCATAGTTTCTTTCTACATGCTTGGATTTTGTTTCTAGCATAGTCGTTTCTGCCTTAACTGTGATTTCGGGAAATCTGATTTCTGCTATAATTTGAGTTAAATATGATTTTGTTATAAATGGTATCTAATCTTATTAACTAAAAATTATAAATGCTATTTACAAATGAGAACTGGGCACTAAATAAATAATACAAAAGATTTCACTGCATATATTATTTTTAGTGAAAAATATGACAGTAAAATTTTATCTGAACTTGAAAGCTCTGCTTATCATGTAGTCCTATTATGCTAGTTACGATTTTATTTTGACGTAATTTGTCAATCTAGTCCGTTTTCCTGTAGTACAGGAAATTCGATTTTATAGCCTTTGAGAAAGTTTTATTTATAAGAAAATAAATTAAAAATATTTATATTTGAAAAAATATGATAACGAATTTATGACTCTTTATGTACTTTCTCTGTATTAAAATATAGGATGCTTCCACTACCTCACGAGAATCAAAAGAGATGTAGTTGACTAATTAACTCTGAGAAATGAAACATTTTTCCAATTTTACTAATTTTCAAGAACTTCCTCTGGCCTTCAAGTTTTTTTCTTAATAAATTGTAATAGCGGTAGTATTTGAAAAAAGAATCATAATAACCCATCATGTAATTTATACCAAGGACCAAGAATGATGGAGTACTATCTCTCATGTAATAGGATAGTTGTATCATAATTATTACTATCTCTGTTTTTTAATATAAGATTTAATTAACTAATTTAAAAAGATTAAAAAAATCACTAAATTATTTTAAAATATTTATATTTATCATTTATGTTCAAACTAATTTGTCTCACGTGTAAATTGTTATATAATCTAATAATTTATATAAGTGTTTTAGAGGGATTATGTAATATATGTTGTAATTAAGTAATTTAGTAATTTTCTTAATTTTCTCAGATTAGTTAATTATAAGTAGTATTTATTATAGGCATTATTCGAAGAAAATATCAGGCATCTGGATAGGTGGTTTATATATGGGACCGTCCACATCTTTTTCTCTGTCTTGTACATGAGACTTGAGGAAGTAAATTATACATGGACGTGGCCCGGGGTTGAGGAGATGGAAGACAAATTAATGTTAACCTTTGGTTTGGTTTAAGGAGGAGGAGAAGGAGTGGTGTTTAAGTTATAACTTCATATTCTTACCCCCCCCCCCCAAAAAAAAGAATTTTCCATGAGAGGTTCCTCCCCTTCATTTTCTACTACTAAACAAAGTCTCGCTCCTCTTTGTTTAGCTAAGATTAGAGGAAGAAAACAAATTCCCTCCTCTCTAGTTTTCTCGAACCAATCACATTGAAAGATTCTAGAGATGGTTCGACCATATGGATATCTACCAATTTTAATTAGAGAGAGAGTGGCGGTGCAATTTAAATACGTATCAAATTTGAGGAATAGGCGAGCATTTTCTGAAACCCACCAGCTATGTCCTCCCATAAATTGGATAGTTGCTTCTTTTGACCAAACCAACATTATGGAGTAGATTTTTCTCTGGACAAAGTTTCATTTAAAGATCCCAAACTTGATAAAGATTTAAAAAATTTAAAGACTAAAGTTATTATCAATACTTTTCAAAACTTACATGCCTGAAAATTTTAATTTTGTTTTCTTGATGTGATAAATTATTTTTTTAATTCATAATTTTTAACGATGATTGATAACTTCAAATTTTTAAGACGATACTCCGCCGATCTTTAATATAAGACTTATTTAACTAATTTGATTATATTAAGAAAATTAGGTAAGTTAGTTAATTATAAGAAATGTAACATGTTTTTCTTAAAATATCATAATCATCTTTCTTAATACCATATCTTTCTCTTCTACTTGATTATTGTTGAGGGAATATCCATAGAGGTAATTTAGAGAAAATTGATAAATATGATAAATGGGTTTTATATTTAGGACCAAAATCAACTCAACAATTGAGTCTTGTATTGAAGACAAGAGGAGTGTATAAACTATTAAAGTCTGTGAGTGTCGTTTTTACTCTTAGATATTAAAGAGAAATTTTTCATAGAATTTGTGGAAGTATCTAACCTAATAACATTGGCGAAAATTATAAAGAGATGAGAGCCAAGGAGCTCCGCCTCTACCTTTCATCGAAACTTTTAAATAAAACACTATGGTAGATCTCACAGTCGAATCCGGTTTCTAAGTTTTTCACATTCCGACGAGCCTGAAACATCAAATGAAAATCGATTGATAATGTAGTTTTCTAACTTTTTAGGTTATCCTGATAATGTTGCTTAGTGATTCGTTGAAACTGCAGTGAATATGCTTTTTGGTGATTATCTTCTTTTTTTTTTTGGGAGGGGGGTAAGGTAAAACTATTACCACGATTATTTTTCAAGGAAAAAAAAAAAAAGGGTGGAACTCGGTGTTTGTTTTGTTTGTTCTGTTTTTCTGCCACTGATATCTCCCTAGTCACAATCTATCAAAGATGAAATGTGAGCAAGAGTTTGATCCCAGTTGTTGATGATTTTGATTGAATGCGTACGGGCCATTTTTCGGTTCAGAGTAAAAAGTGAAGATAGGGCGAGCCGATTGCCAGGGGAAAAGTTGATTTTATACCAAAACAAATTTGCACGCTTACCAATTTCTGTCCTACTTTTGCTTTTGGGCAATCGTGACCAAATAATCTAAAAAAGTGTTTGAGTAATCTAATAAACATTTTTTTTAGAAGTATTCTTTTACAAATCAAAATAAATTTTTTCACATATTTATTTTATTTTGTATACCGTAAAAGCATTTTTAAAGTTATAGTTTTGATCTTACTCAAACACCCTCTAAGTATACTCAAATGGTTAAAATACTACTTACAGTTCTTAACATAAGATCTCGTTTGACTTTTATTTTGATCCTAATTATAAAATCTCAATCTACTTTGTATCTTATATTTATATATTTTTTTTCAAGGTAATCTATCTAATAATGATAGTTCTAGCCAATAAATTTGATTAGTAATGATATTTTAAGAAAGACAACAGTTATTTATTACAAATAACTAATTTAATTTATCTTTTTAATCTTCTTAAATTAGTCAACTAGTTTTTATAATTATGATAAGAGCTAGTAATTTATATAGTCTTAGATTAAAAATTTTAAGCCATTAAGAACAAAATGATTTTTTTAACAGAGAATAACAACACTTTACATTTGCTCTCTCCGACATATAAAAGTCTCTGACCTGATAATCAAGGCACGAATTTGCTGACAAATTAATAGTTCACCTGATATCGATATCCATTTTTTGAGGATTGAGATGAATTTAATAGTGTAAAGTTATCTTTAATTTATCTAATTCTCATTTTCTAGCTTTTAACAATATTTTGAGATAAAGTTTGGCAGACTATCAATTTAACTCTACTTTCTTAAATGTCATTAGATGTTTTGTATTTGATATGCACACATATTTAGACTGATTGGCATCGCCCATTAGGTGGCACTAAACTACTATGGAAACCTTGTATCACCATTTTTCTAGATGTCTTAAAAATAGCACCTCTATAACTTTCATAATCAGGCATTATTTACTTGAGTAGTAGTATATTTTAAAAAAGAAACTCTCCACATTCAAATATCTTTATTGAAAAGAATTGATAACATATTGACAAGCAACAATCAAGATAATCCATACTAACTTACGGTTCTTAATAAAAGAGCTAGTTAACTAATTTAAGTAAATTAAAAAACTAGTTAACTTAGTTATTTCAATAAATATGTATTGTCTTTTTTGAAATATTCTTGTTAATCATGTGTATTAGCTAAAACTATCATTTTATAAAACATTTAACATTTACAACTACTACAAGGATTACCTCAAAAAAATTAAATAAATATAATAAACAAAATAAATTAAAGTCTTATATTTAAAATTAAATTAAAAATCAAACTGCTTCTTATGTCAAGAATCGAAAATAGTACCTAACAGCTTTTATATCCCCCGGTCCTAAGAGGATCTATGATAGCATAGCATGAAAATTAAGAGAACGGCAATTTAATCCCAAAATTTTAACTTTTCAAATAGTTATAACTTATGCTTATATATAGGAGTCTCGATTGCATAACATACTATATGAGACTTGATTAATTCCTAACTTGTGATTGTGATTTCTGTTTTTATAACTGTTTGAGTCAATATTTATAATTTATCTTTTAATAATTTACTTGTGACTTTTTTCTGTGGCAACAATTTACTTGAGACTTAATTATTATTAATTGAAAGTTTTGGATCTACCTATCATTTTCCCCTGAAAACTATGCCAAACGCATTCTAAAACCACGGAAGAAAATGGCACCGGCCAGGCCGCCACGATCCCTTAGGCATGAAGATCTCCACCGAAATTTGACACCTCAAAACGGGGATCTTTCATTTAGTATTTACCAAACCCCAAACCATGAAATGGTCAAATAAGCCGCCACTTGTCTTTTCCGCCTAGCGTTTCATCAGTGTTCTCTAGGCGAAGGAAA